TTCCTCAGATTAATACGTATCTGAAGCCATACTTGATATATATCCATTCAGTGCATCTTTCTAATAAGCTGCAGTTCCTCACAGACTCAGTGCGTGATTAAAATCTTGATACAAATGCCACAGCCCCTCTCCCTGGCTCCAGATGCTGCTGCTTAGACTGCAAGAGATGCCCTTGAAACTGATCAAAGTCAGCCCCCAGAGAGGCCTAAATTGATGCCTATTTGGAGCCATTTACAGACAAAGAAACTTACCATAACCTTACACTGCACACACCTAAGAAATCATTACAAATTTAATAGGTGTGGACAGAACTTCCATTTAACCAGGGTGGCTAACATTTTTTGGACTCAAATTTTTCCCCATGTTGTTCAGGCTGTAACAGCTTACTCCTGACATTAAAAAGGGATAACTGTCCTTGTTAATTAATGTTTATTCTAAGCCTCCAGTGCTGTTGTTCCAAAAATACCAACAGCTAGCATACATTTAATTAAAAAATTAACCCCTGTGAAACTGATGTTTTTAAAAAACCCGTAAGGTGTGCCAGCAGTAATTGTTGTGATTTGCGTGTACCAGTTTTGGGAGGATTTTTGTGTTTTGTGTTTGCACCCACTTCAGGAAGCTAGCAAGCCTCTGACATATCCTGTCAATTTCCAGAAAGGCATTAGGAAAGGGAATATACAGTACTGCTAGACATGATGAAAACTATACAGAAATGTAAAAAGAGTACAAAAAGATACACCAGTTTGACAGAGGAAGGGTGAAGACCTCCAAAACTAAGGAGAGTGGTGAGCATGGAAATCTTGAAGAAAGATAGACTTCAGACAGCGCATCCTACAGGAAAAACTTCCCATCGGACATTGCCAACACAACGTTAAGACCAGACCTGTTAATCTGGTCAAGAGCTTCAAAGAACATCATCGTGTCGGAGCCGATGATCTGATGGGAGGAGTGTATAGAAGAGGCATTCAAGATGAAGTACTTCACAAGAACTGTGGGGATGGAAAGTCAAGTGCCTGCCGGTGGAGGGTGGAGTGAGGGATTTCCCAGGGCAGGCACTGTGGAGAGTGTGGAAGATGCTGGGCATAAGAGGTCAGCATTGAAAAAGAATTTGCCAGGCAGTGGGACAAAAGGTAGACTGTAACGGGAGCTGGTCCCGGCTCCCGCAAAGCGTAGTTCAGGACCCAATGCAGACGGTATAATCCGGAACTAAGTGGAGAAGGACAACAGGGGAAGGTACAGCAGGATAGGACGGGTTGACAGACAGGGGCGCATGAAGACGGTGATCGGGTGCTCGGGGGATGTGGCGCTGGCAAACAAGATCAGGCAGTCGAAAAGGATAATCCGGGGAGCAGTCCAACGTCCAGAACCAGGTGATCCATCCAAGACATGACAAAAACAGTTAAAATCCAGAATGGGATCCAGAACAGGGACTGGGAATAAAACTAAAATAATGAGCCCCGGACTCAGGTGGTCAGGACGCCATGATGAAGCCGATGCTGTCGGGTCTTTCCTGGACCTGCTGGTAGGCGGGCTTCCGGGCCTCCATCTCCCAATGCTGAGCCAGGAATAGCGGGAGCGCCCGGCTTAAATAGTTGGGCAAAACAAGAGGCAGGTGCACATAATCAACTAAAATACAAAAGGGTCGGAGCGCCCATAAGAGGAGGGATCCCGATCGTGACATTCCGTAGACAAGGCTTCATAATGGCTGTGTCAGAAAAGGGAGGAGCAGTGTTCCAGCCACCTGGCTCAGGTTGGGCCTGATGAACCCGGCCAACGCAGTCTCTAGAAGGTGTATTTAGTAGTACTGTAACGCCTAGTGAAGAGGGGATAGAGCCGGGAGCAGGAACAGTCATGCATGTAAACATACAGTCCCAACTGCAGTAAAAACTGTACAGGCTAAACAAAACTGTCCTACTAGGCCCAATACTCAGGTACATTGTGTCTATATATGAAGGTATTATGAAATATGGAAATAACATCTTGCTATTTCATAGCACTGAAAGGGGTGGATCAATCAAGACGTACTGTACATACACCTGTGTCACTTTCTGACACAGCCATTATGAACCTGTGGTACACTGAAAAGGAATAAGTAAAGGTTTATTCCAAGCTGAAAAGAGAAGAAAAGAAACACAACATTTCTGCTGTGGAGCCTTCTTCAATTGTCACTGAAACATTGTGTTGCTTTTCTTCTCTTTTCAGCATGAAATAAACCTTTACTTGTTCCTTTGCACCCTACGCATGCTGATGCAACTACCTACCACTACTAACTACTTATATTACACTGATACATTAATAAGGGTGAAACAGCTATCTGTGACTGCTAACTTAGGGCTTTATGTATGCAAAAATCTGAATAAGAAGTCTCTTTAATCCATTCCACCACTTTCAGCATTATCAAATAGCAAGTGCTAATTAATATTCACTCCATAAATCACACCAGTTTTAATTTCCATTTAGAAAGTTGATTACCACATACATATTTTATTTTACTCAGTATTTTATAAATGACCAGTGCTACAGTAGTTAAACTACTAAAGGTATACTGTAGGTGTGATACCCTGAGGTAATTTGGAGAAATGGGATATGATTGGCAAGCTCTGGGAGGTGAATTAAGGTAACACTGATTTTGTCCACATTAGTTCAAATAGTGTCCTTTCATGCTCCATTGAAAGTTAATATCTTATAAAAGCAAAATAAGTGCTACAAGGATTCGCATCTTGAATTCTAAGGTAAAGGTATTGCCAGAAGTCATTTGTCAGATCCCAACCCTTCCATTTACTGTTCTTAGCCTAGATTTGCAGCTTTTCCATCAAATTATGTAAAATAGGTATTGACATCTGTAAAATGACACGTTTTCATCTTTTGTTGAATTATTTCATTCATCTTTTTTAACTATACTGGAGCTCTATGATGTAAAAAAATGCAGACCTTTCAACCTGAATGTTGTGTGCCATTGATAAATTGTTATAAGATTTTCATTAGATTTTGTTTTAAAATATAACAAACACCATGCACAAAAAAGATGTCCATTTACAGTACTTCCAATACATAAGAAAAATGCCTTATTCAACAGTAACCTTTTGATTCTTACTTTACTTCACATCTACTGTCCTACAAAGACTTTGTTCCATGACAGCTTAAAGATTTTGTTCCAGATGGTGTGTTGACAGTGCTGTCAGCAGCAACAAAGGGGGCTGCCAAGCAAGTTGCTGACCTATTGCTTCTTCTGCTGATCCAAGGAAGTATTTTCAACAGCCTGGACGCTAGCCAGGGCCCCTGCTGCCACAAACAGTGGCAGAAAACAGCTGAATATCCAAAGAAAATACTACTCTATTAAGTATGATACAGATACAATAACTGTTTCGGAATCCATCACTTCAAAGTTCGGAAACAAATGTTTGCCTAATGAAGTGGTTTCTAGAAATTGTTGCTTTAGTTCATTAGTTTGATTCAGTGTTTCAAATGTTGATCAATATGATTCATATTTGTTTTGCTGCAGTGGTCAAGAACACGAAAAGGTATATATTTACAAAACACACAAACACTGTACCATAGGAACACGAAACGTTTCCAGACAAGATAACAATAACTGCCTAGTCTTCCCAAACTTTATAAAAAACAGGTGTTTCATGGTTAACAATGAGATACGATGGACTGTGCCTCTCCAAGACAACAGCTGGAGACTTCTGTTCTATACATATACACTTAAAAGAAAGACATATGTAGCCCTGTCTTCACTCTGGGTGACCCACTTTCCACCCACAGTCCAAAATCATACTGGTGGGATAATTAGCTTCTGGGAAATGTCTATACTCTCCAACTTAAAGAAAAAAAAATCAATTTTCACCTTGAATGTGCACTGCAGAACACAATAATGTACAATCCCCTAAGAATGGACATCACATGCTTCATGAAGAGACTCTAGTGGGCAAGAAATAGTTTAAAAAGACATTAGCAGCCCCCTGCTTGTCTACTCTATTACTGCCATGCAGTGAAATGGGTACTGTAGGCTGAATGCCTTGTGCCCTCAGGCATCTTAAACAGAAGATGTGATTATAGCAGAGTGACCTCAGCCATTTCAGCATTACTGTCTTATACTGCCCTTGCTCTTGTAATGCGTTTCCATATTTCTTATGATTTTCTAAGCATAAATAATGTATTTTCCATTTTAGAATACTCTTTTGTGTTTCTGCTTTTGTTGCTGTTATTGTTCTTCAGACCTGTAACAGCCAGAAGAACCCCGATATGAGTTGTTTCAAACTGCCACTCAACCTACACACCGGGTGGCCACAGAATAGTGCTTTATTCTCTTCAGTCCTTAAGATGTTGTCTCCAGCCTGTCAGCTTGTAAGAATGTATCTTTAAGGCTACAGTTCAATGATTTCTGATGTGGGGGAATGTCATTACAGATTCATACAAAGCCCTTGCTCAAGAAAGCATGCAGTAATACTAACACTCTCCACTTCTTTAGGAACCAGAGAGTTATAATTAAAGCACATTCAATTCTCTACATTCAGAAAATTACTGTATTACAGTCTTATTCCTGTGGTATTCACTTTTATAGGTACAGAAACATACTTGGACACAACTAGTTTTGTAATTTTACCCTTTGCAACAACGTTCACAAGCAAACAAAACTGTAGAGATATTGATTAACCCTGCAGTTTCTGTAAAATAATTTTATCCTGACAATTTTCCTAAAAGAAAACAAAGCCCACCTACTCTATTGCCAAGTGTTACAATGTTGGGGATATGCCTGTTCTTCCACTTGGCTCTGAAATCACAGTGAACTACCTACAGACATGACAATAGGCCTTGTAGCAATAGTTGGTCAGATTCACCTCACAATATCTAAGATCATACTGAGTTCTGGTAAAAGATGAGACTGCAAATCGCTCCTATATCTGTAAGTTCCCTTGCTCAACTGCTCAACTGTGTTTTGCATAAGAAAATCAAGGCACATTCTGAAGTTCGAGGACAGATAAAACAAAACTTACTATTCTTAAGATGCTGCTCCCTTGCCTGCAGGTCTGCAAGAACCTGGTTGTAGCGGTCGGTGAAGGCTGTTATATCAGCTTCCAAAAACATCGGAGCTTCCTCCTTCGCATTCAGCTCCTTCCCCCTCTCTTTCAGCATCTCCACTTGTGGCTGCAGCGCAGACAGGCGAGAGCCCTCATCCTGGGGCAGAAAGAGTTCAGCAAAAAATAGACCTTTAAAACAAACTGAAAACCCCTGTGCTAAAAATACTGCTGATGGCAATTCGAAATCGAACAAGTGAAGGAAAATAAACTGCTGTAATGACTTGACACATTCATTTGGACTCGGTGCAATTGTATTGACAGAAGAGGCATGAGATGATAATTAAAGACTATATTCAGTAACTGGTCTGCATGCGTGACTCTGATATTCTGAATGCTCTAACTACTCTTGACAGCCTCCACAAAGAATTTAGTAGAAACGCAAACTAATGTTGAAATCTAGGTTGAAGGAATATTACAATAAAGTGAGTGTGTAAATCGTTCCCATAGGAAAACATTCTCAGTATTGCGTTGAGTTCAGCAGATTTGAATGCTGTATGTTCTGGCTTTTCATATACAGTAAGGGTTAAACTTTAACTTTATCTAGGCAGCCTAAGGGCCAAATTTACCATGCATCACTCTTCAAGTACACTGCTGATTTTATGGATATACTGGCAAATTATTTCTTTATACATCCCAAGCAGACATCTGTCTTTTTTCTCTCTTTAGGGGAGAAGATTTAGCTTTGTCATACTGTACTATCTTAGACAATTCCTTCCCCCTCACTATGCTGAATTAACTCATTTGCTATTACCAATGTACTGTATAAACAGAAATGTCATGTCACTGAAAAAGCACTATAAAAGGCTGAACATTGTAATTGCAATTCTCTAAAGAAAGACAATGCGAGAACATACAGTATGCACTCTTCAAGCAACTGTGCAACAACAGGTGCTTATTTAACCTAATAATATACACAGGCACATCGATTTCAGTTAGGCTCCTATTCAAATGATTTCAAAGCTCCTGCACTAATTTTACATGCAATCCACACCTGATTTTAGTCAACTTATATTCACATTTGTGGCTCCTTATGATCTGTGTGAATCAACTACAATGCAATAAACCCAAGCAGGCAGCGACATCAACATGCAACAGGCAAAGGTTTTTCCATGCTGGAAGGAAAAGAAAAGTGACACAACGTTTTGAGCTTTTTATTGTTGCTTAAAACAAAAATAAAACCATGAAATTAATTTGCAACATATCATATAAGCCAAAACGTATGATACGCACAATAATTTCTGTCTTTATTGAATACAGATGTTCTGTTACATGGTGAAAATGTAACACTTACTGTCTCTCCTGTGTCTGGGTTCTTACCTTGCACTTGTCTAGCTGCACTCTGACTGTCTCAGATTCTGGAGCCAGAGGCTGCTGGCTTTTTAGCCAGTTTTCTGCTGCCACAACCGCCTGCTCAAGCAGCTGAAAGTGGCTGTAAAAGGCTATGATCTTGTTGTGGTAAGCCAGCCAAGCCAGCCTGTCTTCCAGCAGCTGACAGAACTCGACCCAGCGGCTGTTCAGTTGCTCTGAGGCCTGCTTGATGTCGTCAGCTTTGAGACCCTCTAGGCAGAAACCAAAAATAAAGATGTTGTTCAACCCTTCCTGCTCAACCACTCTCATATAAATGCAGGCCAGTAAAATGACACATCCTACACTTCTGCACAACACCAAGTACAAGTCTACAAGCAAGCATTTTACTGGGTGGGAAAACAAGAGTGGGGACAGAAGGAAAATGCCATCCTGTTGAAATAAATAAGATCTTCCTAATTGTGTTGAACAGGTATACTGCAAAGAAAGGCTGATTAAAGTAAAAAGACAAAACAAATGTCTGGGTAAGATAATAGATTTATAAAAGTTGTAATGTCATGCAAAGCTGGCATCCTACCTAGATGAATATAAATGAACAATTCTAAACTGTGTGTGGATCATAGGCCTTTTGTAACCATTCTGCAGGAAATGGGAAATTGGCAATATATCTACATTTTTTACCAAGGTTTTATCATTTTCTGATGTATCTATGATTCATTGTACTTAGTAGTCATAAATCACTTTTTACAATATGTTTTCTACTAGTAAAGGCAATGCAGAGCTGCCAAATGTCAATGGGGACCTACTGTTTAAGAACAGGCATACTGACATGGGTGCTCTTGTGGACTTGGAACAGAAAAAGTACAGGTAGGGTAATGTCCCCAAAACTGCCACTGCAATTGAGCTGAAACCCACTGAAGCCAGATACTAGACTAATCTTGTGTGGATTACACAGATCAGGCTGGCGTCTTTCTTTATCTGGGTGAATCTTGAATTCTAATTCTAATTTGTGGTAAACAAAGTTACTAGGTAAAGGGGTAAAATGGTACACTTTCTTCAAACCTGGGCTCCAGTAGGGGACTTTGAAGGTATACAAAATGTGGAAAGAAAAACAAAAGGGAGAAATAAACACACACCTGTCAATGTTATAATTTTGTTATAATAATCATCTAATTAATTAATTAAACCAGGATAAAAACTCTTGGGATCTGTTCATATCTTGATCATGTAAAACTGCACAGTTGCTGCTCTTCCTATGTGTCCAGCCTGAGGTGAGGACAGTACCGTACAATGCATGTTCTCCTGCTGCTTGTGTAATGGTGGCCTTCCTGCAAGGTATGAATAGAACAGCCCTGCTGTAGATGTCCTGTTTGCCTGGCCAGACTTGAAATGAAACATCTGTACGATGATCTGAGATGACACGTTGCATCTAGGGCTCTGAGACCAGTGAAGTGGCAATTGTTCATGGCAAGTGGAATAGAACAACAGAATGCCACAAGATAGTGTCTGCCTCCTGATGCAAAGCAGGTGTCAAACTTGTACAGCTTTTATTGCCCCCAGCAGTGGACAGAAATGTTGTTACTTCACCCAGTTGACAATATATGTTAATCAATATTATCAACTTACTTGTTATTTCTGTTCAATAAAATCTTAGTGCGCCTGCTACTAAAATATTTGTCTCCCGATACCCTTATGAATTCAGTGCTTTTATACAGTAAGTGCTTTTGATGGTTAGTTTATTCATTCTAGATTACAGTCTAACTTTTTTTTAAACTTGTAATGTATACTTACACAGTTACATTAAAATAATGTGAAATATGTTGAATAAATTGCCAGTGCATTCGCTATAAAAACAAAAGTCATTGGTTTGGAAAGCATTTGAAATTTGTTGCACACTACTTTTGACGGTATATTTCCCTAAACAAATTATATGAGACAATGTGACTTACAGACCAGCAAAAAATAGGGTGATGTAAATGTCTGGTCAAGGGTTATTACTGTAAGTCAGGTTGATATCAAACAGATGAATGAGTACAGAGAGCCACAGACAGGGTGGCACAGGCTAGAATCAAGGCAGAATTGCTACCCTGAGGTGCAATACATGAAAAGAGACATGTCTGTTTTTTGTAGCTGATATGAGGTTAATCCAGGTAACTCCGCAGAAGCAAAAAAAGCCAATAACCACGCAAACCATTTGCAAAAAAAAGCTAGCAGTCTGAAAAGCCCTACAAGAGGATCAAATAATTACCATCATTTTTAACATTTTGCACCTTCCTTCTTATATACAGTACATGTAGCATTTTCTATCAAAATTAGCAAACAAATCATTTTCTTGCATCTGGAACACAGACAGGTAAAAAACTAAATCTCTAGATTTCAGCAAAGATTACAAGGGACTTTAAGTGAAGTATATCAATCCTTACAGATACTGACAATACTAACCCAATAGACAACATCAGGAGCAACTAGAAGACAAGAACCCAGGTACACTACACAAGTTTTAGGAGCAATTATACTGTAGGAAGCACTTTCACAAACCCACAGATGTCTGGAATAAATTACGCATCTTATATTTTTAAAGCTGATCCTTGAAGAAAAGCCTCGATGAAATGCTAAGATCAATAAGCTACTCAACGCTAAACAGAGTACGATGGGCTGAGTGACCTCTTCTTGTGTGTAACCTTTCTTTCTCATTTCTTTTGTCAATATGAAAGGGCAGAGGCAGAATATTGTGACATGTTAAAAAAAATATAAAACCAGGCTATCACAGGATTTCAAGGGCATCATACCAAACAACATTTGCATATACGAGGCAGTTATTTTGAACATTTTAACATTATACCTTCCAAAACCCTCAGTTACAGCAGACCACCTCCAACTAACATACAGTACCATATTCTACCCTTGCGTATAAATCCTGATTATAAAATTACTGTATCCATTATAAAACTAACACAAAATATGACCTTTTTAAAAACAATGTACTGTAGCATAGTCCACCTGATCTAAAAAAATTCATTGAAAGGCAAAAACGAAGAAAAGAAATAACACAATATCAGCAGTGCTAAAAATACTGTATGTGCCTATGTGTTGCAGAAATCTCTAAGAAGATTATCTAAATCAACTCCCGTGTAATTACCATTCACCATCTGCTCCACCAGAGCCTGTGCTGATCTGCTGGCATCTTGCAGTTTTCTGTGCTTCTCTGGCTTCTCCCGTTCAATAGCCTTGAGCAAAAAGAAAGCAGTAAGTGAATATTAGTGTGAGAACCTGGCAACTAACATAACCACTACTGTAAGCCAGAAAACCACTTTCCGTAAGGTCTCGTATTTCACTAAATCATTGGACCAGCACTGTGGCTGACCTGCCCTACCTAACCCAAACCCCAAACCTTGATACCAAAAAATGAAATTTTCCTGATAAGAATGTTGTGAATTTCTTGAAGCTTTAAGTGCTAAGTTTCTTTTATTGTTTGCTTTTGACGTTATAGCTGAAATGTTTTTGAAGTACAGTAAATGTCTAAACAGGGCTCAGTGTCCAAGTAATTTTTGTTATAAGTTTCAGATTATTTGAATTATTCTTGCACCTCCTTCTGTTCTTTTGCTCCTGTTTTTTAGTGCTTAAATCTTTAGCCACTTAAATCTATAAATCGTACTTTCTACAACTTTCATTCCTATAAAGACAGTATGTATCATCCATAATATTAATAAGTCAATGAAAGATATCGAGCAGTTTCAGGCTTTTCTATTCCAAATGTACTGTAAAGGAACAGCAGTTATAAGACAGCTTGCCTGAAGAAAGGCGTAAAGGTTATCCAGTTTTAGAGGTGGGTGATGTAAGTCATAGTCAAAGATGAAGTAGAGCTGCCTAGAGCTTTGAGGAGACAGAAGCTTACATTGAATTTAGCAATAAACCTAGGAAAGAGTAGTGTGAAACCTAGACTGATAGCAGAAGAGGTCACAGAGGTCAGAGAAGCTTTGAAGATTCTAAAATACGGACCTCATCCCCTCACCCACCCTAACCAATGGAGCTATAATATAAATTAAGACATACAAGTAATGAGTATAAACTGCAGAAAATGTACAGTATATTCTGTAGCTATCATGCTGTGGTACCTTCAAGTTTTCTGGCTGGGAGGCGGTTATTTGGTTAGTAACTGCTCCATCTTAAACCTGGAGAGTAAAAGTAAATTAAGATGCCTCTACAACACTTGTGGATTTTTTGCATTTCCTTTACCCTGCGAGTTATCTTCCATACAACATTTTTTCATTGTTTTTGCACATCTAATCTGAAAGTTGTAGCAAGAATCTAAGCCCTGTGTGCTGACGTATTGGGAAAAGTGCATCAGTACTTAACAAGTAATGTGAAAGAAAAGGCAGGAGTCTACATAAGGAATACTGATTAAGTTTTCTACTGGAATTTCACAGATTAACCCAACTCACTGGAGGTGTTCAAGATAGCTTTGCGTAAATGTTACACATAAAAATACAGATGATTATCATCTCAACATCTTTTAATTGCTTAAGATCAAAATACAACAGGGAAAAATGTGGAGTTAAATCCACATATGTTCTCCTTAAGTCCTTTTCTCCATTTGCATCTGTTAATCACTGTACCTGAAGTATTGTTGACACTAGCAGAGTTCAAGGATAACAATGCAATTGATATTGTAATGAGATGTGTTTCATAATAGTGTGCTTTATGGAGTCGCTGAGTACCCTCGTATTCAGCCACCATAAACAGTAAAAGGTACCCATAACAAATCACAGTTTAATATTGGAAGGTTTTTACCACAAGCAAGGTAGGATACTGTACATGCAGTGATCTTTCCAAAGCATCTGTATTGCTAGGATTGAAACCTGTTCATACCACAGTGTGCTCAAATCATACAGCCTCACTGAAATGCATTAAATGTATTAAAATATGAACCAAACATCCTGACCTGCCTTATTTTCCCACATCAACTCAACACTTTCTTTATGTTATATTGAGATACAGTAGCAAGAAGCAAGACCAAATTCATGCAGAATGAGTTCAAAAAGGGTTTAATTTTTCCATGTCTCTTACATTGACTCTTTCCTGTAGATCAGAGAGGTTCCCCTCTTTCCGTGACTCTGAAAACTCCGGGTTTTGAAGGACTGCTTCAGATCTTGTCATCCAACTATGTAGTTCAGTGGTATCAACATTAAACCTTGCAAAGAAAATAAGATTATTAATTAAACTGGAACAGCAGATTTGCACTTCACAGCCTCACAGCCTAATCTGCTTTGGTTTTTTTATGATGTGTAAGCTGCACCTCAGAAGAAAATGAAGTGGATCCCTTTTAATTTGTAAAGGTCTTTGGCTGAAAAGCACTATATAAATGAAAAAACAACAATAATAATAATAAACTTTAAGTTATATAGTGCCTTTTAAAGGTTGCCATACTGTACATACATGATAAAATAAATTATAAATAAAGACAAAAACTAACAGGCAAGTGATATGATCAGAATAAAAACTGTTAATGTTAAACCTTTATTGAGAAGAATTAAAGTTAAGTTATAGTTATTAACCTATAACTTAACTGAATAATAAGCGTATTATTATTATTATTATTATTATTATTATTATTATTATTATTATTATTATTATTATTATTAGCTGTTGTTTGGGAGCTCAGCTGGTAAAACTCCATTTATGATTTCACCTCCCCAGTCTCCATTACCTACTCTGAAGTCTATTATTACTTTCCCAAAAATTATTACATTAACCTGAAATGTAGCTTATTTCTAACTAGACTAAACAGTAGAATATTTGAAAATAATGGAAAAGCAACACATGTTTAAAGTCTTCATATTGTGCATTACTGACATCACAAAAAAATCTTTGAGACAGATAATGCTGGAATTTTAAACTGACACCTACAGTACATACTGTATTATAGACAGTACAACATGCTGTTTGTTCTGCTAGAGAGTATTATACTATGTACTGGGATATCCTTTCGAAATCTAAAGGCAGATTTTTTTTTCAACGAAAACGTGAACTCTTTACTCCGTGAAAGACTATTTGTCAGTAGAATGGGGACTTCAATGGCACAAAGCTGCATCCCAAAGCCAACAGGCTCTATAAAAGGAACAGCAAGGAAGATGAAGTACAGAGCAAACAAGACTCAAGAGATTCGGAGGATGCACAGCCCAAGCCACCAGCAGCTCTCCAATCTGCTATTAATCATTCCAGTTCTCCATCTCTGAGACCAGATATACAGTACAATAACTGTACAAATTGTTTCCATGTTAGGCAAACATGTCAAACACGATGCTACCAGGAAACCTTGCTTTAACACTTCCTTACTGGTTGGATTAAGAACCATATTATTTATCTGGCTTTTATTAAATCACCTACTGTACGTGCCCGCTGTAACATTTTGATATAATTTTATTACTTTCTTTTTATTTTAAGCCACTATGTGCAGGGGGCTTTGATTCCAACTAGGCCATATAATTAAGTAGCAGATTACAATATTGACAATTCACTAAAGCAGACCATTTACATGCAAGTGATAATAATTATGGTCTATGCAAAGTGAAATGGATTGCTTGGGTCCTGAAATACACAGACTCTGAAGCAAGAGGCTAATTTTGTACAATTAATTTGACCTTTTACACACACAATTTGAATGGCAGCTTTGAGAAGGTGTTAATTACTTTTAATAAATTCAGATTTGCAGCATCTAAATAACAAATCGTTAAGTGAAAAAAGTAGGCGCATCATGTAGAACATCATGTGTTCATAGTCCAACAATCACATTGAAAGAATGGAAAGAAATCTAGCTGAAATTGACGACACCAAACTAACGTTCAAATTATAATTATTTAAAGCCACTAAAAGGGTACTAAACAAAACAGGACTGTGAGCTTATCTTTCCCCCCAGAAAAGTGTTATTGAAAAGTTAAAACTCCAGTGTACTTTTTGACAAATCCTGGAGATACAGTATCTCGAGCTTGAGGCAGTTCTGAAGTTAATGTGTCTTTAACATAGTGTTATAAACCATGGTGTGTGAATGGGTGCCCAGAGAGAGATAAAAGAGGGACCTGCTGCTTAAAACACTTCTATTGCTGCAATGAGGCAGCTTTTAGATGAGAACTTTTCTTGTGGTGTCAAAGCCCTGCTATCCTAACACCATTATCTCATGGTCATAGTGTGAGCTTCTATGACATTTTAATTAAGTACCCTTTAGGCCAGCACCACAATTACATATCCTTGAGTATCCAGCTTAACTAAACCATTACTTTAGCTCCTTAGAAAATGCAAAACAAATCCTTATTTATCATTAAGTATTCAACTAATTGTTCATATATTTTTCAGTGTTCAACCATATTCAAAGAATATACTTCTGGACTATGTTACACTGGTCTGTATTGAACTGAAAAATGATGTCAAACAAATCAAACTATATTTCAAATATCATGCCCAATGCAAAAACAATTAATCCAGAGTTCCATTTTCTAAGTCCTGAGATAGAGGTTAAAATAAAGATAATTTATTTTATATAGCGGCTTTAAGGGTTGACATAAATACCTAGTAAAATAAATAATATATCACGACAAAAACAAACTAGGCAAGTGGTATGATCAGAATAAAAACTGTTAATTTTAAATCTTTATTGAGAAGGATTAAAGGAACATAACATTCAAGAAATCTCTGCAATGCGTCTTTCACAAAATAAAAGAAATAAGCAGTAACTCAGAAATAAGTTAAAATGTAATTTACAGAGATAAATTTAAAATCCAAATCGATTCCGACTTCATATACTTAACAGCATATTTCCACTAATAAAAACATCACATCAGAACATGAAGGGAAAGGCCTGTGATGTCACTGTGTATACAAATGTACTGTACAGCTACCTTTTTATAAATTGACTGATTTCGATATGAACTGATGAATTGTGTTTATTTAATATCAGTTATATGGGAAAGAAATATTCACGGGAGAAAAACGAGCAGTACAGCAGTACGTAACCAATCCCTGATCAGGTGGACAGGCATCCTTGAGATTATAATGTCAAGCTGAGTCTCATACAGGTGTTTTCTAAAGGTCAGTCGTATCTGGCCCTGACTCCAGATGCCTCATACGCTGCTTAATTGCTTGTCTAACCTGGGTTAACTTGAATTTCTGACTTACCTTTTCCTAAGTTCAGAGTCTACCACAATCTGTCTCTTCTTCTGGGGAGGGGGTGGAGGGATTTCCTCCTTTGCATGCTTGACAAGGATCTGTTCACGTGTGGTCACCATAGTTACAGTCTCCATCACCGTGCTGGCGGAGAGCGCTGTCTGAGCAGTAGTGACAGTCTGTGAGATCTGCAAGAAATATTGAAATGTAAATCAGCAGCTGCAGAGATACTTCAACAGCAAAATGTCTGAAGTTCCAAAAGAAAGAAAAACTTGCTGTCACACCAAAACTGTGAACTGAATTCACAGCAAAAGCATAATAATGCTAGACCATCGTTGCAGCAGTATATTTCTAATGGATTGTTAATGAAAGTCTGTACATTTACTTGTACTCTTGAGTCCATGTTCTTTTACGCCCATCGTCTGGGTGTTCAACTTATCCATTTGCTTCTTATTAAAGCATTTTTATGAGTGCTGCCACTTGACAAACTTTATGCAGACAGAAATAAGGTCAGACAGATGGATTGAAGGACAAAGACATTTTAACAGGTAAAACACTATTTAAACCCTATTTAACCCCTAACATAAAGAAAAAGAGCAGTCAAATATTTCCATCTGAGTCTAATGAGTCCCCTGGTCTAAGAACGACCAGGGAACATCTTAAGGAAATACCCACATACAGTACAAGATTCACAAACTGGACATGGACATACAGTACAATACAACAATCACACATACCACATCTCAAAAATGGCTTTTCTACTATATCTGTCCACTGTATGTGTGCATTTGGCACTTTGGTTAGGACTGTATTACACTCTATGTGTGAGTTTTCATTCCTTCTGGTGCAAAATCTTGTATTTTGTAGGAAATGTGATCATTCTGCTTAACCCCCACTCTCACTCTGTCCATTTCATTTTTGATAATGTAACAAAAGATTTCAAAAGGCTATGGACATACATCTCACTCCTCCGTGACTAAACAAAACAATTCCAGGCAATTTTCATTTCTGACCAGTTCATACAGAGAAAACACGTGATCCACCGCTTTCAGTGCAAATAGAAAGCCCCCTGTCTGTGGTCAGACTCAGAAAGCAATTAATTGGTATAAAAGTCAGATTAAAACAAATAACCTTGAAAGCTGAATGTTTAAATATATTTGTTTATGCACAGCAAACACAGAAACCTTTCTCCGTTTTGAGGTTGTGTGATTTTCTTTCAGTGCACTACATGCAGACAGCCTGGCATTTTATGGCTCCAAACTCCCATTCCTAGGCTTTAAAAGAGTAATTTCTCTGAGAACTGTATCAATAAAATAACACTCAAAATCAACTTTATTGCTGTTATCATGCATACAAATTCAGGAGATGCTAATTAACATGCTACAATTTATTTTCTTTTAATTGTTTTTTAACAAACAAACCATTCAACTGAGAGCTGTAAACTGTGTAATTAATATGAAAAGACGTCTTTATTGGACATGATTTGTTTTGTTATTTTTCCATGTGGTAAGAAAGGTGGGATCCAATTACAAATATTTTCAAGCTAATGATGATTTCTTCATAGAGATACTTCTAACCAGGTGGGGGGGAGGGGGTCTGGGGAGGGGATAACTCTTAGTCAGGATTACTTATACTGTTATGTACTGTAGCTCACTAGACTCTTCTCATTGGAAGAGCTGGAGTCAAAGCCTTCCCTGGTATCTTTCTATGACATCTTTCTGAGGATGGGGTTACATTGGACAAATCCAGAAGAGATATCTACCATGTGAGAACTTGGCTCCTTTGGAAATAGTTTTCAATTTAAGGTGAGGGCACTTTAATAACAAATATTCAATCTACAGCTGAATACAAGGCAGGCTTTGAAGACATCTACCCATGATCTGCTGCAGGGGTGTTAGACTCATTGCCTGGAGGATAAGTCCCTTTTGGATTTAGTGCAACCTGAGCTTTTAATTACTGAACATAGTGGGCCCAATTTTTAAATTAACCACAGAATTGTTATATTTATAACATGCTTCCATAGTATTTTAGAAGAAGCTGTTTGTTCAGTTCAGTGAACATTTTGAGTTACTGTATAAACTACAAAAGATCTTAACAGTCTACACTGTATGTGTAGAAAGTTAGAAAATAATTAGGTTAACTGTTTCAGGATTGGAACAAACACCAGAAGACATTAATCAAGCACTGTCTGCCTTGTGGCACTGCTTCCACGATGGCAGAAATGGATGCAAGAGAAATTTTTTAATCTGAATTCTGACACAATTCCTCAATGACAAGACTCTTATTATCAACTCTAAATGTGTCAATCCTAGTTTGACAACTGATGGCCCTGGAACATGTCCAGATGCTCAGGTCAGGCAACCCATTCGAACTTTGCATTCGAATCTCATGTTCTCTGTGTTGTCAAGGCATCCTTTTTTATCTGCACTCCACTGATCATATCCAGTGACATCTCTTTCAATCTGATACAGAATATCTAATGCATGCTTTTGTGTAGGCTTGATTCTCGCAAATGAGTGCTTGTTGATGTTGAGAACCAAGGTGTTCTAATAAAAAGGTACAGTTCAGGACTCAGCATTTCAGTCCTTTGCTAAAACTAGAATACATGGGCATACATCATCTGTAGTACCTCCCTTGCACAGGTTTTCTGCGGATTACAGAAAGAATTCTAATTCAGATGAGACTCCTAAAATTTAGAGATTATGCTTTCTGTTCCTTTGCTCCAAGGAAGTAGAAGTATCTCCTAGATCATATCAGCTCTCATAAGTCAGACAACCTATCAAATACTTATAAATAAGGTTCGTTATTTAAAACAATAAAACAGCACATTTTCCACAAAGCAATATAAGCAGGACACTGCAATTCAGGTCTTTCTGTTAATGGGAAAGAAGGAGACAGACATATGAACAGTCATCTCTTAATTGAATCTGAGACAGAGACCTTGGTGTTACTGTCTAAGCAAAAGGACAAAAATAGAGACCTGACTGCCAAGCTGTCTAGCCAATGAGATATCCTGTGCAGATCCTAATTGGTATAATTATAACTACAAACAAGTATTGACCTTCTAAACTGTGACCAGCCAGCTTGATCTGAGGAGAATAAATTAGGGTACGGTCAATTAGCCCCTTTTCTCTTCTTACAGCCATGCTCGCTCTCAATGCAAAACATGAGAAACACACAGACCTGGTAAGTGCTTGGAGTCTTCCCAGTCCTACATATAAGATTCTTATGAACAAAGCAGAAAAAAAACATACCTCACCTCGCTGTTAGAAGGTCCTGTGTTTTGTCAATGTGCTGTTTGATAGCACATGTTCTGGCAATCCACAGAGCAGAGGAAAACACATTTCATGCAGTTCATCCACATGTCCTCCAACCACTTCTGATATTCACATAAATCATCCAATGACCAATGTCCAAAATCTGTTCTAACTGCCCAAATAAAACTGGGTGTGTGCATGGGAAATACAGTCCTTGGCACAGTCAACACGTTTTTTATTAAAGGAAGCAAAATGCTATAAAAATAAAGCATGGGCACAATTGTTTGATGTTACCTTCAGACAAGAACTGTTTATTTTTCGTCTCTTCTTTGTGATTCCTGGAGTAACTTATAACCTATAGGCTTCCCTTAGGATTTAGACCAGAGGTGTCAATTTTGTTGTCAACAGACTAGAGTAATTGATTAAAGCATGTTGAATTGGGCCAAAGTGATTTATTTCTTTAGGGAAATGTGGCTGTTAGCTGGCCATTTATCAAAATAATTCAATAATTTAGCTGCTGTCTGCATACAAGTTGAGCTGCACAGAGACATTAATAAAAGCATTTAAAGCATCTAGATATTTAAGGTATTAGTTTGATTCTCCATGGAAAATGTAGTATTGGAATGACCAAGAGATTGTTCAAAGAAAGGAACAACTCTACAAGTAAGTGGGCTGACAGAAACCTTGCTAAACATAGCAGTATGAAGACATGTCTGGTTGAAGTTGAAAGAGTGATTCTTCATATATATTTCAGCTGTATTTTATACAGTAAATATTGTACAACACTTATAAGGAATTAGTCAATCACTGAGCAACACTCTTGAAAAGTCCCGTATGGTTTCTGTATGGGCCCAAACACAGTTCTGAAACATTAGCTTCTATCTTAACTGTCATGAATGAACCACCAAAGCACAAAAAAGGCTTAATACAGAATAGAGGTAATGCTCTGGAAATACAAGCACAGTGGAAGTTGCAATAAGATTATAAATGTGTTGACAATCACATTCCCAACAATGTGATCAAACCGAAAAGTAGCAAAAGACAAAACAACAACTGGCTTCTGCAGGGATCAGCTTATACAGATGTGTATTTCTGCTGGCTCTATGACCTTTGTGATCTTTACCTGAAGTTCAAACATCATTTTGAAGTTCAAACATCAAAGTTTCATGCAGTTGCTGTTCAGTGAAAGACAAATACTGTACAGTACACACTGTATTAGCACAAATTCAAGGATAAAGTGCTTAGTTTTGTTTTTCCTGTATAGTACCTGTAAAGTTCTGTGGACAGGTATGGTTTATCTTAATACATTGCTCATCCAATTCGACTTCTCTTACCATATGCATTGTGTGCTACTGTAATTTGAGGCATGTTTAAGGATATCACAGAATCTTAAACACTTATACAGTATGTGTGAAAAATCCAGCATGGCAAAAAAACTTGAAATGTAAATATATTTTTCCACATTTTCATTTTTATTTCATGCATTGAACTATGGACATTTAAAACATTAACTTGAATCCATAAAGTGTCAGCAACAGGAGAATCTGATTTTATTTCTGGGTATTTTGTAGTGCTTAACTGCTGCTATGACTGAAGACATGAAGAAGACAAGAGAACAGGACCTCAAACTGAGGTATTAAAAGAATAAAACAATACGCTACATGGATTAACGAAAGACTTAAACAAGTGAAATTTGTATTAAAAATAGAACGCACATTCAATAATAGCTTCAGATAACGTAGATTATACACACTTCACCATTTTTTTTATTTCACAATGTTCTCCAGGTACAGATTTAATATGCTGAGTGTTACGTTCATAATAAAAGTTAATTTCACTTGAATGCTACAGATGGGTGTAATTTTATAATACATTAACACGATGTGAAGCTCACATTTCACACAGCTCACCCAACCAAAACCTTCTGAAGAATCCCAAAATGCTTTACATATGGGGTTGACAGAGTTCATTAACCATTGTAGTGCAGCATTCAATGGTGATATGTCAGCCCCACTACACTGCAGTCCAGGATGAAAACTAAGAAACTGAATTAAGGGACAACTTTTGGAAGACCAGAGTAGACTTCAGCAAGAATGCCAAGGACGAATACTCTTTTGACCTATGTCTTTGAATCTTCAATGAATAAGTATTCAGGATCTCAGTTCGAACTCAGAGCCGAAGGATAGCACCCCCAACACCACACCAACCTGACAAAAGACCGTGATACAGAAGTCAGACTACTGAAAATATCCGTCTACATACTGTTAATTAATATACTGTATATGAGTGCTATTGCATGTGAAATGATCTTAAAAGGAAAAAAAAGGAAAAGGTTACTTTTTCTGTGTACCATACAGGTATTTTATGCCACTGTGATTACACATATAGTACTGTATATAGTTTGTTTAAGCATGCATGTTATAATAGATTGTTGAGTTCACCATACACAATATTTATTTGTCAGTTCAGAAAGCTGTATGCATAGAAAACATTTTAGCCAGTGTGAGCCTCGGAATAATATTCTAACGAGATGTAAATGATAAATTTGAATGAAAACCGCACAGACTGGCTGTACATGGAGGTGAACAATGATAAATACATATTTAATTGAGGACAATGTCTGAATTAAAATGAACTACATTTAGAATGGCACATTTTTTTATTATTAATATAATTATGATCTGCAAGTGTGAAATCTGTTAATGTATGATTGGGACAATAATTAAAGAGCTTGCAGAGAACATAATAATGAGTGTGAAGGGCTTTTTTAATGTGATTTTTAACTACCTACTTGCCTCTCCAAACATACCATGACCTTCACATCTATAAGCTGAAAGTTACAATAGGCAAAGTACAGTACTTTGTGTGTGTCACGATTGTAGTCCCTCCCCCTTAAGGGCGCTCCGGCTCTTTCACTTCTGACCTGATTTTGTGCACCTGCCCCTTGTTCCAGCCTCCTTCCAGCCCCCCTTAAAAGCCAGACGCCCACTCAGTTCGGGGCTCTGCTCTGTTTTCTGCACCAGGTGAGTCCGGAACCTGGAAGCGCCTGGTCTGGTTATGGTTTTAAGTTTCTGTTCCTGTTCCCCCTGCCGGTTACGTCCCTGTTCCTTTTTTTTAATCGTCTGTCTCGGATGGATCGCATGGTTTTGGACTTTCGCCCCGTGTTTTGGATTTCTTGTTTGTCTCATCCCTGGATCGTTTGCCTCGGCCACACCTCCCCCGACCACCAACACTCCAAGGACACGCCCCCCCTGTCTTCATTCCTGTATCCTGCATGACTTTTTCCCAGTGTTTCCTCACTCAACCCTGGATAGTGTCGTCTGCATAGGGTCCGTCCGGAAAGAATGCTTTAGTAACAGTGTGAGCGACTATGAAGTGTCATTTCCTGGCATTTATTCTTATTGGAGTCCTTTAAAATTCCTTTCAATCATTTTTTATTGCAGATTACTATTAAGTTACATTTCACAGTTTCTAGATAATTGTTCTATCAAATTCACACCAAAATTGTAGTAGTATCTAGAAATGTCCACGTTTTACTGTTTGCCCATGTCTAACATTCTTTAAATATTGTATATTGACTTACAATGACAATTGTAGCAATGACTAAGATCCACATACAGTACATAATGTTGTTTGTATTTTAAAGAGCGAGGAGGGACCTTTTTTATTGTTCCTTAGAAAACAACAAAAAATCCTGAGCTCTTATCACACGATTTCATAAAATCTGCTGATACTCAGTGTTCAGTATTTAAATTGAGCTAAAATTGCCAGAATTAATTAATCAAGAATATGTGTAAAAATACCAGAAGAATTACAAGTTCAATTACCACAAGATCAGCAAAATATAAAGTCACGCAGGGCTGAGAGAGAAGAAGCTCGGAGAACGAGATGATCTGCGGATTTATCAATCAGCAGGCTAGACCAGAGAGCCCTGGAACACAGCTCTGTGATCGACAGGCTATGTCCTAGAAGGCAGAGGGTCACAGCGTCAGCTCAGAACTAACATATCCATCTGCGCAACTGTCTTCAGAATGCAGAGTTCAAGAAACTCAAGGACGGAACAATCCTTTCATCAGCAGAATCACAGTACCTCCCTGTCTACGTACAGTACATCAACATGATCTGCATACATGAATGCCATTCACTGATAAGGCTGACAATTACAAGATGAAATCTCCATCTTCTGTGGGGGGCAGCGAGAGCTGACGAGTGCTGTATAACCTCCAAAGGTATGATGGAAAACATTATTTGGAGATGTTGTGGTGTCCTTGATCCAATAGTGTCATTAAGGAACATTAAGAAAAACTATGTTGAGGTCTTACTTTAGCCATTTTTCTACCTGATATACTGCATAATGCTTAAGGAAGTCAAACTCCATACTAACTTTGCCACGTTTGACAGTATCTCACAATTCATACTGCATACCTATTACGATTCTCTGATCTGTAATTTCTTAAAAACTAAAATAGACCCCAATGTCAAATTTCTTTTGTGCAATAATGACAACCCAATATGAAAGAGTTAATTTCTTCAATTTGCCATTTCCATAACTTGGCTGATCTCTCATAACAGATTTGCTGATGCCAAACTAGAACATGCTCCTCTGTGGGCAGTTCAGTAGGTCATATTTGCTGACTGTGGCCTCACCTTTTTTTTTGTTTCATTCTGATTAATATTACAGTACTTAAAGGTAAGGACTAGTAATATTATGCTAATTCAACAAACATTCAAATCGTCTTCTCGTTTGACAGAGAAATAATTACAATAATTTCTTATTTTACATTTTATTTTGTCTTTCTTTCTGAAATATCCACACTGTATTAAATGGCTTTTGAGGAAGGCTTAAAGCACAATATCAAACAAGTATTGCTTGAGACAAGACATACTAAACAATTAGAACAGACAAACACCAAATGCCTGTTTCCATTCTAAGTTTCTTTTAGCACTTAGAGTGACCTTGTATGCTGCTGCTGTTCCCCTTGCCCAGGAGTGTAGTACATGCTCATTCAAGTGGAGAAAGGAAAGAACAGTAAAGGAAACAGAGAAAGACTTCATCCTATTTACACACCTGTGAGGAGCTCCTCTCTAAGGTCTGCACCAGGCTGTCCCATCGCTGAGCAAAATTCTCCAGACGGGCTTCCAGCTTTTTGGCTACATCCTTGTTTCGCACAGCTGACAACAGGTCCTGGCTGAGTGAGCACAGCTTGTCCATGGTCTGTCTCTTCATCTCCAGGTCCCCCTTCAGAATCTGCCAAGTAGGACCATCAGTCAAAAACCCATCCAGCAAGAGAACTGAGCCCATCAGCAATTACACCATCAAATTGTTTCATGGAGTAGACACGTCATGGGAGTTTACAGAAATAACCAGCCATTTGTTTCTCTTATGAGGTGCATTAATGCAGAGGTTAATTGTTTGTTGTTTCTTGTTTATTTTCTGACAGCATATTAGTGTTTGCAAAGCCAAAGTTATTTAGCACAGTAATGACAGGGTCAATAAATAAGATGAATGACTGGTGCTATAGTGCATTCAACCAATACTTTACCAGGCCCTGAGAAAAAGACAAAATAATAGTTTTATCCATAAATGGAAAAACGTAGATGTTTTTTTTTTGTTTTGTAGTTTTAATTAAGCATAAGATTTCTCTGATTTCTGAGAAGGTCGTGTCATTCTTAAATGCAATGTAATTACTGTATTCCAATTGACATTATGAATATTTCATTTGAATGTTAATGCCAAAATGGATAAGCATAATAAAAACACTATTACAAGCACCATGTGCGTTTCAAAATTTGAGAAAAAAAAGCTTTAAAGATGTTATTTGTCTTAGGACTTTCAAAACATTTAAAATATAAGAAAGCAGTAGAAATGTCCAGCACTTTCAGAAATTCAACAGCATGTAGTGCAGCTTACAGCAGTGCATATAAGAGATACGGTAAGATAAGATCACTTTATTGGCCATATACAGTACAGTATATTCTTTTGCAGTATAGCTCAAATTAGAATAATAATTAGAATAAGAAATCAAACATAATTCAACATGAATATGTTGCTAAATAAGATGATTTTAATATGTGAGCCTCCTAGTTATACAGTAGTTGTTTTAATGTTGTTTTCCTGTGAAATATATATAATATATATAAAAAATATTTTAGTATTTCAGTATTGTAAAATAGTTACTGTATCTGCAGTACTTTCAGTAACACACAAATGAAGAAATAATATATTGTTTTAGTTGGGAAAAGAAGTAACTGCTTGACATTAGAACCACAAAATAAATTTATATGTGGATGATGGGAAACAAAATAAATATTATGATAAATGGCAGAGCCCAAAATAAATTATCCTTGGAAATATAATAGGGCACTTTCTTTTATATTTAGGCAAGAGCTGATTGACAGACATAATGTGCCACTATAAAGGATACTGCTGAATTCAGATTAGCTCAGGCAGCTGTCTAAAATTTAATGTTGTACAATGGCTCAATTTCCTCAAGAACGTAGAGAACATTACTCATGGTCTTTGTCCAGCACTGAGGCTTAAGAAAACTGGACTACTCTATATATAATCCAATGATTCCCAAAGCACAATGAGTGAAGATAAACCTTTTCAGCGAGAAACCTGTTCAAATACTGTATATTCAATCTCACTTCCCACATTAATTTTATAATATAGGATTAATTTAATGCTTGCACACACACTTTTGTATTATCATTTCTGTAGGAATGTTGCATTATGCATATGTGGGAGTTTATGGGAATTCTCTTTGTGTTGCCCCACTGATAATACAGCAATATGTACAGTATGTGCTCCCACACACACCAGATCTAAGGAGGAATGAATTTTATGTGATGATCCTCTTTCTAAAAGCATCCTAAAAGCTAATACACATATCAAAGGTTGGTCTTGAAAAGTATCAAAACACTGGGATGACTGTCTTGTGTTTCTGAACACATTCCACTAGAAGGAAATGTTTAATCCTAGGAGAACCCGATCCCAAAGAGAAAGAAAAGCTAAGCTTGGGGTCTCACAGGCTTGAAAAAGAAAGTAGAAAAACCATATGCATATGACCCAAGCCTAGGTTAAAGACAATATTAAAACTACCGAACTACCGAAAACTATTTTAAAAAACCAACGAAGGAAATCTTTTTTACAGTTGTACCAATTGCACAAAAGATATCTATAGGTATGGATTATACTGACGTGTAATAGCCTTGGAGGAACACTTTATTAATGACGTTGTGATAGCTTTGCATGCTCTTGCAGCCTACAAAAGCCTACAATGGTCTAGGACAAAAATGGAACATTTTAGCTCAGAAACAACACCTAGAAGGCATGAAATACTACAATACAGTATGCTTATAGAGTGACACGGCTCTGTTTGGTACAGCACGGCTATCAGGAGTAGCAGTAGACTATCATTACTATTAGTAGTAGTAGTACTAGTGGTAGTATTAGTAGTAGTAGTCGTAGTATGGAGACACTAACACACTATAATTAATTAGAGAATAAAGCTGTTTCAAATGCTGGGTACCTGTCTGTTACAGCATACAGTACAGTACATACTGTAGTACTTTAGGCAATATGAGTAATACAGTGTAATAAACCACAAAACATAATTTCATACTCATGTCTCATTGGGAATGTGCCGCTGGGAGTATGTGGAAAACCAATGTACAATCTGCTCCTATAAACAGGTCACAGGTCTGCTGGCTTTAAATTATGAAACTATAGCTCAGTGAAATAAAAGGGAGAATTCCCTTGGGATTATGACAGGCGAGAGCGCTGCAGTGTGAAGTTCCTAGGGCACTTGGTAAACTCTAACAGCAGTAACGACTTGCAGGAAGCGGCAATGAATGACCTCATGTATCAGCCCCGTGGCAGGATCGTCAGGTCTGGAAGGAATACAGTGCAACTGTGGCTGCTAACATAAATAAGCATCATGGAAGGTCTATAAATATCAGCATGTGATGAATTTAATTCAAGTATCTGATAGAGGTGTCCCTAAAAAGCTGTGATATTCAGATCAATGGAGAACCATATGGAAAAGGTAGGGTCTTGAATGAATCCCAACTCTGAGGCTCATTTGGCGATGCCACATACTGTATACAGTACAGTGCTGCGCATGAAAGAACTGAGGTCCGTGTTAGGGAAAACTATCTTTCAGTGTGAGACCTGCATACACATACTGTAGCTGTCCTTAGCCAACAACAGTATTTCATTTCTCTGGGTACTGGGCAAATGGAACATTTAATTTAATTAAATATTCTGAAACCTTCTGAACTCAAAAAAGAGATCAACGCCAATTTAAGAGCTGTATAAGGAACTGCCTATCTTTCTGATGCTGAAGTCAGGAAAATCTGAATGTACAGTATAACTTCAGTGAATGCTGCTCCAGATACAACACTGGTATCTGCCAAACAAAGTTTGGCAACAGATGATAAGTTCTGTACCATGGGTCACAGATTTGAAACAATTAAAGTGCTTAAATTCCTTTGGGAAACCATACAGATTTAAACACCCAAGAGTTCTGAATATAGGCTATCTTGAGTTCAACCCACAACAAACTGGATATACTGTGTTTGTGTGGTATACAGTACATCAAAGCACTATCAGCACTGGCAGCTATGACACTAAGTCATAGTTAATTCTTATGCACTTATTATATCAGAAAAAAAATCCTCTTTCAGATGTACCTGTAAGAAGTGAAAATGTTAATGTAAAGGCTTATGACTTAAGCACATTAACAAAATTTAAGAGGATGTAATGACAGGCACTATTATTCCTCAACTCCTCTGCCCTGCAACTACAGTACTGACACAAAAATCAATATAAACACACACCTACATAGAGGAAGGAAAATATTCAGCTCATATTGCTTTCTTTGCTTGCAGTTTTTGCTCCTAACAACTCTAAAATGACCCCTCTGATTTCAAAACTCAACCTTATTTTTCTTATTTTTCTAAAGATTTCCTAAGAAAAATTATCCTGTGAGATTTAGCGAGGATCAAATCAATCCGCCGCTTGGCAGCTCTTCAATGTTAGGAAAAACGATATGCCATTTATTATGACTTTTTATAGTGCTTACCGCTAATTTCCTCAGATTTGCCACCATCTCCTGCTGCTCTTTGAAACCACTAGTTTGGATCTTGTTAACTGCTTCTTCTTTTTCCATTAGCCAGGCATCAAATAGGCACTGCAGAGAGGAGAACATACAGAAAACAAGAAGGGAGAAAAACAATGTTAAAACAAATCTCCAGACCTTTTAACTTCTGGTACATAATGAAGTCTGCATCATTTCACAGTGTTTCCGTAAGAACAACCGAATTATGAAATATACAGAAAATCAGCACGTATTATGTGAATTTCATCACATAAACGTAAAAGAAGTTTCTGAAATTGCATTGGAGCTTTTATTGTCTCAAGGACATTACAAAATATATGAATGGCATTTGGCTAATTTATGCATCATCTAAGGTCGCCAGCTATATAATAAGCAAACTGTCCAATTTTAGGCCAGTTAATACATTAATTATCTAATTTCAGGCTCCAGATTTATTTAAATATTTGGACATCTCTTGGTATAGAACTCTGTACAAGCATATGAAATGAAGATACAGTATGAAAGTATATATATATACTGTAAATGGCTTTGTTCTCTAAGCCTTGTTTTAGTAATAGCAACACTTAAATAACAACAGTAGGAGTTCTTGTGTTAATGTGGAAGAGCCTCAAGCATCGATATGGAGAAAAATTCTTGTTTTATTTTATGCTCATAAAGAAAAGACAATTGATGATTTATGGTTCTTTTGGGGCTAGGACAAAAATATAAAACAAAGGACCTGATGGTATTTATGCTTAAGGAAATCAAGGGTGCTACTCATAAAACTGTAGCTAGTGTAGAATATTCCAGCTCCCACTTAGAATGGGATCATCGTAACCAAACATTGGAAAATTCCAAATGTAACACCAATCCACACAAAAGAGGAAATAATTGAACAAGGAAACAAGGAAACTACAGCGTAATCAGTCTTACTTCTGTTACTGGTAAAGTTACAGAAACAATAGCTAGAGCTCAATTAGAAGAATACTTAGAAAACACAGTCGTTTTTAGAGACAACCAACGGAAGCCTGGAAATGAAGATCTCGCCAAACTAAGTTACTAGAATTCTTCAAACAAGCAAATGTTTGATAACACTAAAGTATATGACATGACAGATATCTGTTTCATGACAGAATCTGTTTTATGACAAGTTCCCTCATTAAAGGATTGATTGCCAAATACACAGGAATCCATGGTAAAATATGCACAATGATGCACATGGTTAAAAACTGGAGAGAGCATATTACAGTATCTCTAAGGAGCATGACTTCTTAGTATGCAGATGTGAATCTTGGTGGGACACAAGGATCTATTTTCAGGGGGTAGCTGTTATTGATCTTTATCAACGATCTAGATTGTGGTATACTGTAGCTAGAAAAACTAGGAGGGTACAGCACTGTAGACACAAAAATGATTGTAGTGTTCTTGTAAATCTATCTATGTTCTCAACAAGACAACGTGAGGAAGGAATAAAAAAGCAAACAGAATGCTTGGGTACATAGCAAAAGTGTGAAATTAAAATCTAGGGAAGTTATGTTTAAGTTTGGTCTACAATGTACTAGTAGACCTCATCTGGAAGACTTTTAATTTTATTTCACCATACACCATACTCTATACAATTTTTGGTCACAAAGCCTTCTTCGGGTGTGTAGTCATATATGAGTCACCCAAAGCAGGCTTCACAGCCGAAACGTTGTGTTTTCTCTCTTCTCTATAGCTTTTCTCCACATACAGTAGATCTCCACATAGTCAGCCAATACAAGCCAGTCTCTAATGCTTTTGTTGACTCTAACAAGAATATTTCTAAACATGTTAGCACATCTCTGAGCCTGCTGAGGCGACATGCCCCACCTCTTTGCTCTCTCAGTTTGTTAGTGGTTGTACTGTACATCCAGGAAGGAACGGAAAGCCCGAAAGCACCTGACCTGCTCCTCAGTGAAGTGCTGCCACTTGAGCAGGATTTCCTGCAGAAGAATCCACCGCTCTTCTGTCCACCTGCAGATGTCCGCCCATCTTTCTCCCAGGTGCTGAAAGCAGAGATCATTCTTCAGACAAAACCATGTACAGTACTACGAGACAAGCACCCGATCTCTTTTCTAATACTGCCAGTAAAGCTGTTAATGATTGGAACACAGAGTAATGTGAAGAAGCTGGTACAGTTTCCTAATGCTGACCTGCAACTTAAGGACATACTAAGGCAGCTCACAAGAGCGAAAAGGCTTTCTATTTCATTTTAATTAGTGTCTTTTCTCATGAGAACATCACTTATATCCATTTTTCTAATAAAAAACCCTGACTGAAATGATGGCTTCATTTTTAAATTGGTTCATTGTTAATATGACAACATTTTTTACTTTTCTTAAACACTTACTGTACAGTATTGCCATAAGGGAGCCTTCAGACTCAATGAGAATCACTTTTCTTCAACATTAAAACTCATTTTAGCTATTTTATTCACACCTGAAGAAGGCTCCATGGCCAAAACGTGTTTTCTTTCTTCTTTTTTTTTCAGCATGGAATACACCTATTACTTGTTCCTTAATTTTATATGCTGTTACTGTATGGTCTTCCTACAATGGCAGATATAGTGGGAGAACACATACAGAATTTTCTGATTAAAATATCATTATTGATGACTTATATAAAACTGGTAATGGAAGATCATGTAACATCAACGGAAGATGCTCAACTATCACTACTTTTCACTTTTACACAATCCTATAATTTATATCAATCACCCTCTGCCTTACATCCTTATTTATTAACCCTGAAATTAACATAACATTCAGGAAGAAAGAGACAACTTCCGTTCATGCTACATAGGATGGGAAACAGTTTATACAAGTATCTGTTCATGGTGCTTTGGTTTTAATGCACTATAACTCTCTATTCTCTGTTATTGAGGTAGTTGGTAATGGAGAAAGAAAGACTGCATTCATGGTTTTATTTTGGTTTGTGGCCCTTACAACTGCTGTACCAAATTTCTTTACTTCACTGGCAAAAGGGGTATTGGACCTCTCTGACTATCATTATGAACTAATGATAACTGAATATGTGCCAATATGATTTTAATCCAGTACTAGATGGATCATGCAGTATGACCCGTCAAATAATTGCACGTCTGTTGCTCTTTTCACATGTACAATACATCTGACTGTGAGCTAGTTGATGCTTGGTGAGTGCTTAATGCATATGTCTTATTAATGTAATGAATTGTACTCTAAAATGAATTTTATTGTCCCATCCTAACCCCTTTTTGTTTTAATTTTGGGATTTGGACATTCTGCCATTATTGAACTATTAGACAATAGTTCTTTGAGACAGCATATCTCTCTAACACGATACATAAAGAAGGTCTGAAGAAACCCTCAAGACAGTGGTTAAACAGCCTAAACCCTTTCAAGTTACATTTTAATACAAACTGAACATTTTGAAAATCAATTTTTTTCTAATCAAGGTTCAGTAAGTAGTCCTTCAATTTTACAAGATGCAATAGAAGGCCTCATTAGGAGCAAAACCACACAATTTTCTACACTACATAATTTCTCTAATTTTAACAAATGCAGTTGGTGTAAAAATTAAAGACCTGGAATATAAATCAGAACTCCACGAGCACACTCTAAATAGCTATTGTTCTGAAACAGGACTAGGAAAGGTTTTTTCTGAAACAGGACTAGGAAAGCAAAGAAAGGAAAGACTTTTTTCTTTGCCAGCATTTCAGACATGTTTGTTTGACATAGTGTGAGGCAGAACTATTTTTTCTCTTGGGAGCAGACTGAGCTATGTTGTATCTTCAAGAATCTGCATCATTGAGAGTTTTGGAAATGTTGTCTAGATTAAGATCCAGACATCTGACCAAGCAGGGGAATTTTGGGATCAGGGGGAGGGGGACAAAGTGAGTGTGGTATTTAAAAAATGCTTTGAAAACCATTGGGATTAAAATCAATATCCAAATGCAGAGAATTCATCATGATAAAGATCTAAGTATTACTGTATGTTGGTATGAAGAGCCAATACCTGCAGTTTTTCCTCCAAGGCTGCGGTGGCGCCATCTTCACTGTTCTCATCCACCACGACAACCATGTGGGTTAATGAGTTGACCCTCACCTGCTCCATTTCCAGATCTTCTTGGAGTAACTACAGAAAAAGGCAATGCCATGTACACATTAAAATAAATGCACATTGTAAAGGGTTGGCTAATCAGTGGGGACTCTGTGCTTGGGAAAGTAATAACAAGACTGCACAATTACAATTTTCAGGTTTAACAGTTTTATCTGTCATGTGTTCTACTGTATCTACAGCAGTGCCATTTTTTATTGAGATTCCAAGTCATAAGAACTCAAGAAAATAAAGAAGGAATAAAACAGGGGAGGCCATGCAGCTCATTTTCCCTGTTGGGCTGGATATATCCAGCACATGATGTGCAAGACTACGTAATGTCATCTCTCTAGCGATCTTCCATTGACAACTGAGTTTTGAGATCATATACTGTGCATTGCATGAACATAAAAGACACGGGCATTGGGAAGCTCATGGTAGTGTAAGTGTTGGTGTTCTCTTTCTGTCACTAAAAGGAAAGGATGGAGTACATGGTGAAAGCTTGGCAGTAAATGTTGAACTGAAGACATTTCAAATTTCTGAAAGCTAAGATGATGCACCTCCTATTTTTCCCATGTACACTGATATCAAATTGCCTTCAATAGACAGTGTAGTCGAATGAGAATAATGCACAACCATACTTTGTGTTCTTCTACTTGGTGCTTAATATCTTCCAGATCTGGTCCAAGGGGCTGTGTCTCCATTTTTTTGACCCTGGACTCTGTCACCGCCAGCCAATCGCTGAGCTGCTTCAGCTGCTGATGCTGCAAATCCATTAAAACTTCATGTAGCCTGAGGAAAGGAGGTGACAGGCGCTTATATTATGAATTATCTCATGTCACTCAAAGTGCACTGACTTTTGCATACAAACCCTAAATAAATGCAGTTCAGCACAGAATTTGAAGATTAATTTCACTGTGGTGCAAAGAATGTCAAACTTGGGATATCAGAATTGGAAAAGCAAGCAAAAATATTCTCTCAATCTGAAAAGTACAGGGATAAAAACATCCCTTAAAATAATTATTTATGCCTGCATGGAAGGCAAGCTTATTAAAAGAACACTGTAACTGGCATGTTTGCATTCCTGAAATAGATACACCTATTATTGAGGATTAAGGATTAAGTTATCAAGCTTTCAAGAAAAATTAAATGAAAAAATAGTTTTGGATTCCCCAGAGAAAACAAAATAATATCTTGGCTTATATTTACTATTAAAGGTACATCATAGCCACAGAAGGAAAACAGAATAAATTACTGTGAAATATGTCTGAGTAAATATCCACATAGTGAGACAAAAATTATTTAGGTAATTACAGACTACAGCAGCTTTAAAAACAATAAATTTAAATAAGTCACTATTCAATTCTTTAATTTACTGAACTCAGCAGTGTTTAGGTTTTGCTTACATTCTGTGCAGAAATATATTTAAAGAAGACTTAAATCTAACACCCCCTATTCATCAGGCAAATAACTAAGAGGGGAGTTTTATGGCATGTTCTATGACATAACTTAATTTCAGTAAGTCCTCTCCCACAATTTATAAAACTAAAGTCATTCCTATGTGAAGCTGTTTGTATCTTCCCTTAAGGAGCACTAGTACAGGTTAATAAAGGCAGCCTGCTGCCTTTATATGTCAAAGCACTGACATATTCATGATACCTTTTTCCATAACTGAAAATGCACGCTTATATTTTTCTTCATGAGAATGATGTGCTCTATACCCTGCTTGAAGTGAACTAATGTGCTCTTTTCACATCCAGACAAAATGTCAGACCACATGTTGACAAAGCCTATTTAACACAGCTGCCTCTATACATTTGGCTACCAGACAATGATGTATTTTACACACATCATCATTCATGTTACATATATTTTTATAAACTAAGCAGTGGTCCATTGCCCAGTGAAGTACGTTACAGGTCCTTCAACTCTGTCACCTAATGATCTTTGTCATGGCCCAGGAAGACCTCAGTCTGATATTTTCTAGCCCCGTATTACTCTGCAGCTACACAGTTCAGTGTTAAATCTCCACTTTGAAGTTGATGGCGCTCAGAATGTCAGAGTACATGATGGGTGATAGGGATTCCATCAGCTGGAAAGGGAGCGACAGATGACTGAAGAACACATCAAATTCTAGGACTGTATTATCGTGAGAGGAAAGGGGATGATTGAGCTTTCTGGCACTAAGACAAGCGGGTTGTTCATTTACAGACAAGTCCGCCTGAAGGCCGAGGCTTTTTTCACTCTGGACAGCCAATTCATCTCTGCCACCCCGACAGCGTGGCATTGCAGGAGCCACCGATAGAAATGGACATCGGGAATAAAAGAGTAACATTTCACAAAGAAGTGTCAGTAAATCAGTCGAGTTTGGTTTTGAACCACGGCATCTAAAGAGGAGCAGTCAACTTAAGGCAAAGAGGAGCCTTAGTAGCTCAGAGAACAATTAATCCACTTGGCGCTAATTAAACGTGTGACATTTTATTAACAGTGCATCACTTTTGAGGAATATCTGCTTTGTATGATTATACAAATAAGTATAAAACAGAGGGAACTTAACCAACACTTGTTTATCTCAGCTGCAGCACTGTAAAATGCAGTACAGTAATAAAGAAAAAAACAACATACAGTAACAACTCATGCTATCTCTAGTAGTACAGTAAGTCACAAGAGAAATGAAGCTTATTTGAACTCTTTTATAATAACCTTATTTTAACCCTTTATTAACTTGAAAGTTTCAGCAGTAGAAATAGTCTATAAAATCTGAATCTGGGCTTCTAGCCTGGTGGTATTGCAAGGTACTGTCAAAAGACACCAGGCTGTGGAATCAAAGGAGATGCTGGTCAGAGCTCAGTTCCCGGAGAACCACATGTTAATTGTACTCAGCAAAAAAATGAATCTTGGCAAAATTCAAGGTGTATGCTTTGCAAAGCTTTCTTTAGAAAGTTTGGAAAAAAACACTTTTTTTAATTTCACCACACGTGAAAAAGGTATTTGTTTCTCTTGAGTCAGGTTGCAGCTCAGAGAGAAAAAAAAACGAATCACTATTCTATGAATGTAAATCACTGATAAACCGTTCGTATGACAACCTAACATCATCAAAATACTCATCATGGGTATATTCAGCATAGCCACAGACAGACCTCTGGGAATTCAGGGTCATAATGGAAAAAGCTGTGCAACAGCTATCAAAACAAGAACTGTTGAAATGCACAAGCATGTCCTCTTCTAATAGAAAAACAAAAATTCAAGCCATAAAAAGTTATACTGTATACAAACTTTATACTGTATATAAACAACTAAGTAAAGGGTTAAAGCAACATAGTTATGAGTTGAAGTCCCACTCCACTACTAAATGCATCACAATAAAGTAATGTGTTCATTCATGCAGCTTTAAAAACCATAAATAGACAAAACAATTTAATTTAATTTATCTTGTCTGTTAGATAAACTGAAATAATGCAGTTAATCAATATAAGTTTAGAGTGGAAGCACATGCAATATTCATTTTTCAGGGAGGACAGGATCGTACTGATTACAGCAGTTCCATGTGTGCCTCCTGGCCAAATATAACAATGCTTTCTCTGCTCTGCTTCGTAATCAGCTAAAAAAGGTTTCATGAGGAGAAGCTTATTCTTTCATTCATCTCAGGGCACTCTCAGCTTCCCTTTGCCAGAATATCATTTCACAATACACTAATTTCACAGAGATTTTCATACTTTTTCCATCAGAAAATTAAATTATTAAAATGCACTGTTCACTGTCCTGCAGGAGTCCAAATTCTAAACATTACATTCCACCCCATGCTGCCTTATTAATCTTGTATTTGGACAACATGCTTTTTCCTGGAGGAAACTGTCAAGAAATCCACAGGACACAGCAAGTATTATGCCGAGTCTTATTTTTAACCAGACTCCTCTGAGAATACAGATATTTTCCTGATAATTAGCAGTGCAAAGATGAGAAGGCAAAAATCAACAAATATAAAACAATGAAAGGTCCATTAGCTATTCTAATTAACGCCTGTCTGTCTATCTCAAAGACAGCAGAAAACTGTTTTATTGGGGTTGTATGCACATTATGTTTTTAAGAAGTGTTAAAGTATATGATTCCAATCGGGCAGAAGAGCCAGTAGTAACTTCATATGCCTCATTATCTTGTGGTTCTAAAGCCTTACTTTTGAAAAGACTTATTGATTTCATCCTTCAAAACACTGTGTGAAGAATTTTTGAGAGTGGTTTTATATGTGTTAAGCTTGTTTGGAGTGCTGCAGATCTTGAAACTTTAACAAGTGTACTCTATATGCTGTACTAAGAAAAATAAACAAGTTTCCCTGTTTAATAACTGCATTATACAGTATATGAGGATAAGAATTTACTGCAGATATGACTTCTACAGGAACCTCGTTTAAAATACTATGTACAATTTTGGTCCACATATTACTAAAAAGATACTGTAACTCTAAAACTGGAACCATAAGAATATAAAAATGTTTGGTACTGTAGATGGTAGCTAACTGATCCAACGATCTGACACCACTGTTTCAGCTTCAACAACATGGCTGGGTTGCTTTTCCAGAAACCGTTGTATAATGATAATGGACATCACTAGAATGTATTTTGTTGCTCTTTGATTCCAGAGCAACAATATATATTTTTTAAGTGGAGACCAATATGTTGCATAATATCTGAAATGAGGTCTTACTTTGTATTGTGCTATTTTAACCTACATAATGGTTTGTTTGAATTGATTAAATTGATTAAAATTCGGTGTTTTGTATTACATATGCTGACATTGTTAAATATGTAAATTATTTGCTAACATAAAAAAATAACTCTTTTTCACAGTTGTTTAAACTGCAGTGTTTTCCATTTTGCATTTAAAGCTTGTTTTTGCTACCTATGTGTAATACTTTTGAACTTTCCTTCATTAAACTTAAGCTTCCAGCTGTGTACAAACTCTAGAATTTTAGCTGCCTCTTTTTAAATTTAATGTGCTGCTTTTACAGTGTTCCTCTTATTTCAGGATCATCTGCAAATGTGGTTAGTTTGCAAACTGTATCAGAATCTAGATCAATTAATACACAGTAAATGAGAAAGAATAGTGATCCTAGTACAGATCCCTGGGCTGGTCTTCTGGGACTCATTTGAGGAAAGAGTGATCATATTCATTCTAAGGCTCAATAGAAAGGTAAAGGAAGTAAGAGGTAGGAAGGGGAAGTGCATTTAAAATTGAGAACAGGGGGCATTTTTTACATATACTGTAGTGTTGAGTAAGCATCTGGAACAAGCTACTCAGCTATGTTGTGCGAGCTGATACCCTGGCTTCCTTCATGAAATAGCTGGATGGGATCCACCAATCCATTGGCTAATAACAACGAAACAACCTAGATCTGCCGTATTGCCTCCGTCGCCTGTCATCCTTCCTTCCACTGTCATGAAAGTGAGCCAGCGTTCTAATAAATGATGAATTTCATTCAATCTTATCCGAGCAACAGTGAAATCATTGTCAGTTAAGGCAATTCTCTTTCTATTTGACTAGCAGGCCTCAGGGCAGCGCTTTTAAAAGCTGCTTTTTGTTCTTTAGGCCCATGTTCTGCAACATTCCGTCCTTCTGAAATGGCAAGAACACAACAGATTCTTTTTCTGACAGTTTGTGCTAAAGAACTTGTTCCCATGAGCTCATTTCCTCACCGTACTTGTGATGCCCTGACGAGCTCCACTGCTCCTGCATCAACTCCATCAAATTCCACGGCGCATTCCACACGCGGAAGGAGCTCGTCAGGGCCATCCCTAACGAGGTCAGACTGAGCTCATAAGCCTCGTTAGGAAACCTCACACAATATTTAAACCATTCCTCAGTGAGCCATTGAGTCACTAACATGTGTGTGTGTTTGCTCTCTGTTCCAGGAGTTAATCCTGTGTTTTTTTTCCAGTTTCCAGATGCTCCCACCATTAATTACCCATCAACCCTTCCTGACTCCACCTCAGACCTGTCTGCCCCCTCCTGCCTGCTTCACCTGCACATCTCAGTTGTCTGCCATTCCTTCTTCTATTTCCATTACTACTATGAGCTAGCATGGTTTACCACATCTTCTCAATATCTCAATATCCTTTAGCTTTCTCACTTTGTCATCTACAGTAGTTTTCTGCATTTTCCAACTCTATCCTTGGTAAGATCTCTGCAGTGAAGCCTGTGACCCCAAATGTACTAGCAACAACTTCAACTGTGGTAAATCAGCATCTAAGAGAGTAAGATACAAACTAGTATCCTTTAGGTTTGTACAGATCTTGCAGCATGGATAATAATGAACTTAGTTGAAAAGCAACATGCTATGAGCTTTTTCAAAGAAATCACTGCATGCATTTTTATTAACGTAAAGTAAACGATTGGATCTTGTATATTGAAAAAAGTTAAGATCTCTAATTGTGAAAATCGTGTGAACCGAAGATTTCTGCATGGGCAAGGTTTGAGTGGATTTATCTTGCTACTGTCGGCAGAAGTTTGCTTCATATCTAAATAAAGCCAGGAGGCTGGCAGTAAAAATCCAAGAAGCCTTTCTACTTTCTCTTGGATTGCCTTTGTTTGTTTTCACCCATGAGGAACACATCTAAGCCCATCCAGGTGCAGCTGACATTGAGCTTGATGCATGAATCCAACAAACTTGCCATCAGCAAGAAGCTGCTCCTCAGAACAACAGTGAAAACAAATGATGGCTGCATTTCTAATACATGTCTCTGGGCTCTGGAGCAAAGGAGAGGAGTGGTGATGATACTGTAGCTGCTTTCCCATCCTTGTTTTTTAATTAACACACAGCTACTGTAAATTAGAGGAAAGAGGATTTTGGCAAAGTGGACCCTTGAATACATAGGTTGGCAGGAGGTCTTTCATACATACAATACAAGCTACTACCAAAACAAATAGTAAAAAGCACATACTGCCAAAAAGATAATTTTTTAATAAGGTATAACTGTCTTTCTGTACTTTTATTTACAAGAGAAAGATTCATGATCATCATGAGGAACAATGATGCTCATTTTATTTTTCTTGATTTACTGTGATAAGAGGTACTTTTCACTGATGTCAAGCTGTAAAGATAATTATTTTCTCCACTTATAGAAAAAAAGACACTGCAGATGGGGCATTTCCACTCAGGCCTTTGCACCAAACATCACTGCAAGAATTGTACTTAGAAATGTAAGTAACTCAGCCATCTTTATTCTTCATGATTAATTGTTTCGGTTCATGATACTAATGTTCTGTATTTTTGTGTTTCAACAGGTTTTATTAAAAAGACACGTAAATCCAATTCAATGCCAGTGGGGAAAAAAGTATATTGTAACATTCAAACAATAGCTTTTAATAATTCTGTGACATACTTGCTTTGCCTCTCCATGCTGGTGACCCTAAGATGTTCCCATCGAGTGTTGAGGAGGTTCATCTGTTCTCGAACCTCATTCTCCTCATCATCAGACAACCTTCCCTCCGACAGTAACTGGCTCCCGGCTTGCAGCACCTTCCCCACACTGCTTTGGTGAGATGTTAACTCCATCATAAATCCCTGAAACATCAGCAGAGATCAGCAGCCATTAACACATCCCAACACTGGAGCAGAGCATGCAGAAAGGCTACATTACAGTAATTACACACTAGAGAACTGATAAATGTGAACAATCTGCTTTCATAATTACTGACATTTAAATTTGTTTTTCATACATGTGCACAAATGCTTTTTGCACCCAGTATTTAATTATATATGAAGTTTGTGTAGGATAAAATATATTTTTAGTAGTGAATCAGCATATCAAACATTCAGAAGCATATAGTTCACGAAAGAGCGATTTTAAGTCTTTCTGTGTGTAGCAGAGATGTTTTGTGAATAGACCTACTGTATCAAACATTAGAACAGTTGAGCACACGGCTTCATTTCCTCCCAGAGTAAACAATAACTTGCACCTGCTATTTCCAAATGTGGGAAATAAAACTTTAAGAAAATATTTGAATTAATTTAGATTGAATTGCAGCCACTCTAAACGTCCATTACCATGACCTAGTTAAGGGAAGGACATACCATTTGTGGACTGAGCCATTTAAAGAAAGATGGAGATCTTAGTCATAACAGGTCACTATGACAACATTAAAGCAAATAAAGATGTTTCCAATATAAAAGTCTCCAAATAGAAACTGCAGAACTTGCTTCCTTCTTAGTGGTTATAAAGCTTTAACATTGCAAGGAAACTTCAAAATCCAGACGTCTACAACGAACTTTCACAATCATTAAGATTTAATACCTTTTCTTAATTTAGGCAGTCAGTCTTAAGTCTTATGTCTGCCAGTGCACCGCGTAGCCATATTTCTTCACTTTCAACAAATAAAAGAATAACTTTTTTGCTGTAATATCTCAGTAAATCAGACCCCTGAGCCATCTTAGGCAGCAGATGATGGTCCGCATTGCAAATACAGAGCTGTCTGTTGATAGTCAAGTAGAAGGCAGCTTATGGCTGAGTTTTAATTACTTTGCTGAATGAACACCAGAACGTGTAAATATAGCAGCACAGATATAAATGTTTTAAAAAGTCAGCAAAGAACTGTGTTGTATCCATAGATATGGGCCTGAGTAATAAACTGTAATGGGCTTCAGGCAACTGAACCCTAAGACACCAGGAAATTGATAAAACTCATTCCCTCCATTCACGCTGACAGCTGTATAGCCGTAAGCATGCAGAACTATGGAGGGTGTGCAATTCTGTTTACTAAATACTCATTGATTAACAATAATTCAGCGTAAACAAGAAACATTGTAAATCAGAAATTCAGCTGAGATTAAAATATTGATTCAGTGTTGTATGTCAACTTGTTACATTCTGTATTGATCTCAGACAATTATGAAAACATGATGTCAATTAATATGAGCAAATGTCCCCAAAAGCATAAAGATCTGAATCCTTGTACATTGTTCCATTAGTTATATTGCATTCCCTTTTATCATTAAACATGTACAGATACGCCTGTAACTACGGTAACTATATATTCAGATCAATATATATCTTTGTAGTGCAGTTTGTTTCAACTGCATCTGGATAATGTTGCCTTGTAAAGTAAAGACACAGTTCGTGTTGTGTAAGCAATGACTTATCAGCAGTGCCATCTCCTTTCCATTTAGCAGTGGTTATTAGTCTTTAGTTAAATATATAATTGAAACAACATGAATTCACTGTTTAACTATAATATATCCATTTAAGCAGGCTAAATAAGATCAGCTTTAGTCATTCTGAACATACTAATCGAAAGTATACAAACTGATTTTTAATTACTTTTGCTTCTTGTGCAATATATCTATTTAATTATTTAAATGTGTTGCACTTCTCGTGAGTTTCTGTGATCTGGAATGCATTACACAAACAGAACAAATTTAGGATAAAGGATGTAGATTGCAGTTTTTTTTTCAAGTCCTATGAGAGATGTGGTTAAACACTTTAGCCTTTGACCCAACAGTTGTGTATCATCTTAACTCTGTAGCCACAGTTGTAGTCATGAGCCTAATTCATTAATACCATCCCCCCTGCTCCTTTGAGGCTGCAGCTATTGGCTGACAACAGAAGGACCTGGTCTTTAGGTCTTTACTATACTGCTGTAAGTCTATTTGCATCTAACAATTAAAACAGTGGTCTTCAACCTCCTTGCACTCAAGGGGGAAATTAACCATGATGAGTTCCCATTACATCAGAGATGGGCCAGTGAACAACAGATGCTGGCAATTTAGAAATACAAGTCTACAACAACCCATATAAAACAGTTAAAACAAACCATTAAAAAGAAGCAGAATCTCTTTTCTCTTTCTCAGATTCTATACAGACCTTTCAATTTATGTGGTATATATTTCATTATGTATTATATGCATTTAAAAAAAAAACAGAACAAAATACATTTTTCACAAACCAAACATTTTTCTGGACAATCCGTGAACACTGGATCCCCCGTTCAATTCAATCATTTAAAACAGGAAAATGTGTGAGTACTTTTGTTTATTAAAATTTAAATTTAATACTTTATTTCTAGGTTTCTGTCATGTTTTGTTTGAGGTAAGATGCTTACCATTCTATACAGATGAGTCACATTCAAATATAAGATATTAAACGTGACCTTAAAATTATTTTAAAGGATTTATATTATGTACAAGGTAAGGACCAAATAAAACACGTTTAGACGTTAGTGTAATGGTTTTCTGTCCTTGTTCTTTATGGAGAAAGCCCAAGCCCTTTCTCATTATTGTGGGACAGGAAAGTGCCCCATGTGGTTCGTTAAGAAACTTGCACTCTCTGTCTGTCCTCTCCTCTCTCACCTCATGTGTGTGAAACTGCTCCTTGACCTCCTCCACATCGCCGGAGATGTCGCCCTGAGACTGCAGCGCATCCTCGGCTGACAGCAGCCACGTCAGCACCTCCTCCAGTGAGCTCTGGTAGCTGTCCAGGTGTCCCTCAGCCTCCATCAGCGGGCTGCTAGCCGACTTGTCTTCGGGGGCTTCTGCTGGCTGCAGAGCAGGAAATTGAGTGGGTGTTCAACAATTAGGAGAATGTTCAGGCTGTCTCACTACATTAACGAATCAATAGCACAGAATACCTCCAACACTATGGATAAGTCATTTTAAAAAAAAGGAGGCAGCTGGGCTGAGAAAACTGTAAATTTACTACAGCAGCCAGAACACCCACAAATTAATCAGGAAGAGGGAAAAAAAACAGATTTGAAAACTTACGTAACATAAAACGTACTGTACCTAAATAAAAATGTTTTTCTTTGGACAAATTTATCTCCTAGTTTGGCACTGTATCCTATGGGCAGTGGTCTTGGTACTTTGCATCCGCATTGATGGTTTCCTGATTGTATCAGATTTATTCAGTGTAACATAGCACCTGTTAGTATAGTCAAACACAGCAGTTAATAATCTACAAACCCTATTCTGTTGTAGTGTAGGAAGACCTACGCACTTAGTAACAGGTGAATTACCGAATAAGCGCAATGATGCCAGTGTGTATTTTTTTCATTTTTTTACTATATGAATAGTAAAATTAAAACAGAAAAAGCAAGCGGTACCGACATCATTAGCTTTGCAACAAATTCTCAACTGACTGAACTACTTTGTTGAAGTTTGCTACGGTACGTGTAACTTTTCAAACTATGATTCTAAAAGATAGTGTTTTAAGTGAACTACCAGCAGCCATATCACCCTGCAACTCACAACTGGCAACCCACTGAAGCTCAGCAGGTGTGAGCCTGGTCAGTACCTGATGGGAGACCTCCTGGGAAAAACTAAGGTTGCTGCTGGAAGAGGTGTTAGTGGGGCCAGCAGGGGGTGCTCACCCTGCGGTCCATGTGGGTCCTAATGCCCCAGTATAGTGACAGGGACACTATACTGTAAACAGGCGCCGTCCTTTGGATGAGATGTAAAACCGAGGTCCTGACTCTCTGTGGTCATTAAAAATCACAGGGCGCTTCTCGAAAAGAGTAGGGGTGTAACCCCGGTGTCCTGGCCAAATTTCCCATTGGTCCTTACCAATCATGGCCTCCTAATAATCCCCCTCTATGAATTGGCTACATTACTCTGCTCTCCTCCCCACTGATAGCTGATGTGTGGTGAGCGTTCTGGCGCACTATGGCTGCCGTTGCATCATCCAGGTGGATGCTGCACATTGGTGGTGGTGGAGGGGAGTCCCCATTACCTGTAAAGCGCTTTGAGTGGAATGTGCAGAAAAGCGCTGTATAAGTGTAATCAATTATTATTATTATTTTTATTACTAGAAACTGCAATCCAAACACACTCAGCCAAACCAATGCACTAAGAGGAGGAGCAACTATTATATTCAGCCTATTTCTTAAAAACTAACAAAAATGACATAATCATGCAAAATCTAATGCTGTGACAATGCATTGTTAAATGAAATCTACAGTATGTGAAAATAAACCAGAGAAACCGTCACAGTAATTGGAGTGTAATACCAAACTGCAAAGGATTAAAAGAAAATTAATTATCTGTTTTTTTTTATATATCACGTCAGTTATGATGTTTTTCTAATTATTCACCAGAATGTATAAAAAAAACACAGCTTCAGATTCTAAAAATACACAATATATTATTGTTCTGTACAGTACATACAAAAAAAGACCAAAGTATTGTACCAATGTATAAAGACCTACTGTATTGAGCCTATGGACATATCTACATTGTCATCATGTAATTGGACATGTTGAGACAACTCCTAGAATCCAATTGTGCTCTAGCCAGGACACATTTTAGGATTTTAATTATAAAATACAAAATGGGACATAACCTATCAACTTTGCTGAAAAACCCTCAGGCTTTCTTCATAGATTTGAGAACAATCTATGCCTCATTGAGACTGTCAATGGAAAGTGGAGCTATATTAACAATAACCGTTTATGAATATTAAAGGACTTATCCTGAGAAGATGAAAATACAAAATACATGTCAATCTTATGAACTGCCACTTTCAATCATTTCTTGTGCAATGACCTTTTTACAATTTATCTCAGTGCTGATCTCTGATGAAAAGAAGTCTGTTTGTTCCCAATTCACAGAAGAAAAAAATGGTTGATTGTAAAATTTTACTCTTGTGAGGGGCATGAATATTTAGCATTCAACTGACTATTAATACATGAACAATCCAGTCAGATACAAAATCTCATTTCCATGAATGTCAGGATTTTGCATCCCCTGGGGCTGAGAAAAGGAAAGGTTTTTCAATCAAAATTAGCTCCTTCAAAATGGAATACAGCTTAAACATGACTGAATGGCACTGGAATGATTCAGCACATATCCAGCGAACTTCAAGGGCTGGATATTCTTATTATCATTAGGAGCGCTACGTACAGTATATCATGCCGCAAGCAGAAGCATTTAATTTTTACAGGTTTCAGAATGCTTCAAAAGTTAGCTGGTCAGGTTTCTTGAATAAAAGGTTAATCAAGAGACAACTAGGAGAGTTAATTTTGGCACAAATAGAGCAGATTTCCTTCCACAGACTCTTCAGATTTTTGGTTTTGTTCCCCTTGGCAGAACGAGACTGCATTTGTGCTGATAATAATGTAATTCCACAGCTTTGAAGCAGTATGTGTAACAGGTCTCACAGGGTAATATGAAATTTTTGGGGTGGCAGCACACACCAGGATTTTCAAGAGTGTTAAAACTGACAAAAAAAAGAAGCAAAAACACATCATTGCACCTGACTTACAGCAATAATGTGCTCACCGGGTTCAAAGGACGAGTTAGGATTAGTCAGTTGGTCCAGAGTTTTACATTTACTGCAAAGCTTCTTAAGGTAAAGTGACAGTCACTTGTTAAATCCACACAATGCTCATGGCAAGTCAAGATGTCATTTCTAAAACTTAAGAATTAAATATTATAAAGAAAGTAAATGTTAAATGTATTTTATGAAATTATGATGAAAGTAAATAGATTTTAATTGTATTCAATTTAAAACAGCCACCTACAGGAAAGAGAAAGCAGAAACACAACAATGAAAAAGACAGACCTGGGCAGTACACCGCCGCCTCTTTTGGTCAGGTGACTGGACATAAGCAGCTTGTGTGTAGGCATAGCTTTTGTAGCGCGGCTTAGGAGAGGGAGAGGGGGTGCGCACATGGCCCTGTGCAACACTGACTGTGATCTAGGAAGCAAAGATCGGAAGAAGAAGGACAAGAAAGAGGAAAAGGAAAAAAAGAACAGGCAAGGCATTGATAAACCTGATGACAAGAACAAGAAAGTATCATCCAGGACATTAAAGAAGGAAAAGAATGCACAAAGTCATGTAGCTCGGGATAAAGTAAACAGCTACTTGCCAGAAGCCAAGAGAATCTGTAAAGCTCTTAAGAATACACAGGACTCAGCATAGGAACAGGATACAAAATTGACCAGCTGATGGATTTTTAACATTTAACACAGTCCATACTAAGACAATTCAATTTCTTAAAGCTCACACACCCTTCAGAATAAGATGTACTGTACAGTACTTTACGCTTACAAATATAAATCTATAAAATACCGTGAGCATCAAAAGAATCTTCTTTTAATGTTTGTATGTTTCCAGAAAAAAATGGATTTTGGATATTGATTAGTTTTTGCCATCATTTTAATGAATAGATCATTTATAACTGACTGTGGTACACTTGAGTGACTACTGTATAAGCACTGAATGGTGACAGAGTTGATAGGACACAGAGAATGAGGTGATGTAATCTGTTAGATGTGAGGCCTGGTGAAAATCAATATGACGCTTTTATCAAGAGAACACCTTTTTGTCATTTCTATGTACAGAAAGAGTAACACCTCAAGCAGATGCAACAGAAGTGGAGCCAAGTAGTCTTTAGCAATTAATCAAGGTTTTGTACAGACCAACTTAATGGACATTAATGAGTGAGGTGCAGATGTGCAGAATGATAAGCTTACTGTTGTATTAGACCAATTGATGAGAAGGCCCAAGTGTGATCTGGGCAGGAAAGTCTAGTCGCTACAGAAAGCCACTTACAGTGACTGATGGCAGTTCTACATTGATCATTTCCTAAGACCTCCCTTGCCGCTCTCTCTGTGTGCTGTTCCCGACACGAGATTATTTCAGTGGGACAAGTTGCAGTTCTTTGTTGCACAGCTTTCTTGAGAATGTGAACTTCATGCTATGGAGGCTCCAACTGCCAGACTCGAGCGCCGTTGAACATTTATGGTTTGAGCTGCGATGATGTGTGGTGTCCTGGGCTCACGGACCCCCCAAAAAATGAGACAAGCATCTGCAACCTGCTGCAAAGCCTATAGCGCCAGTGAGTTGCGTGTGATGTTTCAAGTGGTGGCAACAGATACTACTATATTGTGACTTTCTTATCACAGGAGATCCCTGGCTCTTCAACACTGCTCAACCCTGTTTTAATCACTATAATGGATTCACCCTTCTCTATCCATCCATTTTTTAAGAGCTGGAGTCTGTCCTGGCCAGCAACAGGTGCAAGGCAGGATACACTCTATGTGTTTTTGGACTGTGGGAGGAAACTTTAGCCCCCAGAGGAAACCCAAACAAACACGGTGAGAACATACAAACTCCACACAGACAGCGTCCCAAGTCCAGAAGTGAACTCAGAGCCCCAGGGCTGTGAGACAGCAATGCTGACCACTGCAGCTCCGTGCTGCCCTTCACCTGCATCATGTCTGTTGAATAAAATGTTAGTGCATGCGCTATGAACGTACAGTATTAGATCTTTTCTGATAACATTGTGAATTTAATGCAGATCAAATTGCTGCTTTTGATGGTGGTTAGTACATACAGTAAGTTTTAAATGACAGTTTAATAAATTTTTAAATGCTAACATATAATCGCTGCAAAAAACAGCAAAACAATCATACAGTGCAAATGTTGAGTTTGAGCAAGATATGTGGTTATTATTCATGCTGCATTCAATTTAATTATGCATAGAGTACCTTACAAAAGTAATTATTTGAACAGTGACGATGATAGTGATAATAAAATATACAGTACAACACAAAGTTAATTAAACTCACAAAAAACAATGGCTGAATAAAAGACTATTATGAATCAGATTTTTAAAGTACAGACAGCAACACAAACTCATCTTCTCCAAAGACTGGATTTCAATCAGTCTGGCTTGAAGCCGCAGGAACTGACTGCTTTCTCTGGTTTATTCGGAAATATATTCCCAGAATCACCAAGGCTCAAAGAGACCTCCTGCATTTGCACTCTTGCAAACATTATATTAAAGTCTGCAAAGTGTTGCATACTGTATCTTACAATTTACAAAGGCAACACTACAGTGACAGTCAGCGGGTGACACTGCTGTAATGTACAGTATCAGACAACAAACACAGAAGACAAAATCAAAACTTGCTGACCTTATGTTTTCATTCTGAATAAACTATTGATCTACATCAATGAGGCTGTGCTACGTACAGTATATTTAAGCACCAAGACAGTATGACTTTCCACTTTCTAGATTTAGAAGCTTAAATACGGAAATATAAAATATTACCCGAAGAAGGCTCCACAACCGAAATGTTGTGTGTCTTTTCTTCTCTTTTCATCATGGAATAAACCTTTACTTGTTCCCTTACAAAAAATACTACTACTTTAATACTTAAAGAAGAGATGGCATCTTTTGAATTTGTGTCATGTTCAGCTTCATTTAAGATTCCTAATTTACTGCACAAATGGTACATTTATTAAATGAGCTCATATACTGCATTTGGTAGCCGTCATAAACCAGAAAATTATTGTTTTACTCCCATTACATAGAGTACAATTGTTGCGTGCTTTATAAATCTAGCACAATTTGCATGCACAGACTTGCTCAACTGGCTGAATAAAATAAAATTCAGGCTAATTAATATTCAGTATGAATTAATTGGGTATTTGCATAAGGACCCACTGGCCAGCTAGCTGAGGGTCCTAATCTTTATATTGAAGGCGGAAAGTGGAATCACAGTAAAATAGTAAGGTCACATACAGTAACATACAGTACTGTCTGCATAACCCAAATGCCAGGACCCTGATATACTAAAGATAGACAAGCCTGTACAGTATATTTCTCAACTGCTGGGAACTGTATTGTACTTTATGAAGTTATATGCATGTACTGTACATGTTAAACTACAGTATATTGCTTTCGTTTCAAAATACACCTTTCTTTCTATTCTTTCATCCATGCCTCAGCCTCATCGTTTAATTGCTCTAATTCATTAATCCTTTGGCAAACTTGTTCAATATTTATATATACATTTTCCAAGTGTAAGCTACATCACGTGCAGTAGCCAGTAAAGCAAATGAAGCCTTGCTAGACACTATAAACGCTGTTCTTCCGGTATTCATAAAAAACTGAAACGATTCATTTGAATACAGTACATCTCTGTGCCCTTTTTTTGTTTCACAAAGCACTGTCACACCGTTAGAAAGAACAGAGCTGAGTGGCACAAGAATCAACATGTTGTGGTGCAAGCCGTGCCTCACGCCACTTGCTGAAAACATTTTCCAAGCTGCAGAAAGACTTGTTTTTTTTACTCCTATGCAGATTGTGAACAAATACGTGACAAAAATGGTTAGCCTAATCCGTGTTTTAAAGCCCATTTCCACAGAATTATCACGCAGAGGACAGAATGAAGCACAGAACAGTAATAGCTGCTAGTGCCAAGCATTGTAGGGCAGATCTCTTTTCCATACCTGTATGGGATTCTGACTACGGCGAGGGGGAATAATGTTGTCCATTTTAAATCAGTGGGGAAAAAGTATACTTTTTTTTTTCCAATAACTGCTAACATGAAAAAGGAAGCCTCACCTGCTGGGAATAGCGCTGTTCATGCTGATGCTGGATCTGAATATGTTCCTCCTGAGTGACCTTTGTGTGCCGGGGCAGTGTTTCAACTTCTTGGATGGCTTCAATGGTTACTTGCTGGGGCAGGACTTGGAAGAGTGAGGTGACATACATGATGATGGACTTTTTGTCTGGGTGCGGAGTTGCAACATCTGTTGAAGAAGAAAGCAGGAGAAAAGCGCTTGAGAACATGGGCCTGGCACAAAGAGCACAAATCTTTTCACCTGTGTGGGCCAATCAAGCTTGCAGGACAGAGACACTCATAATAAGCACAGCGAATTGTAGAGGCGAGTTCTCCAGAGACTCATTAAAACTAGGTGTAAGCTGCTCTAACTCATCCTTGCCACTCTGCATGTTAATGAGACTGAGGCTATTTTTAAATCAGTACTTATTGCCCCATTCAAGCAAATCAAGATCCATAATAATCCTTCTAGGTAGGAAGTCCTTTTATAAATCATTAGTCTTGATTAGGTAGTCTGTCATCACTGCAGAGTTTAATTTTAGGAAAGGTGATGAAGCACTTTGCCAGCCATATACAGTGTCAGTAGAATCAAGCTTTTTAACCTTTTTTTCCAAGTAAATACATGCAAAATACATGTACAAATGTTTACAAACAAGTTACTGAAACAAGACCTATAAAATATATATATACAGTATATGTTATGATTTATAACAGCGAGATGGAACTGTACCTATTTACAATAAGGAAATGACTAACGATAATTAATCTAAATTTTGACATCCTCTGCAGCCTGGTACCTGGATACAATTATAACCTCATCCCATCACCTTTATGCAAGTATTAAGCTCACCACATGAATACAGGAGGGATGAAGATTTGATGTTTGCCAGGCTTGAAACTTCTCATAAAATTGCTTTGCATGTTTCCATAATGTAGTATACATAATGTCTTTAATTATAATTAAAAGTTAAGTGCATAATGTAAATTTGAACTTTCATGTTAGATCAAGTTCAGCTTCAGTATTTTACAAACTCTAAAGCCTCTAACAATGTTTCATATTTGTAATTTTATTTGTTTGAGTTGCTCTGGTTTTATATCTAATAAACCTTCTTTTCTATACACAAACACATAGACAAACATAAATGTCCCAAACTGCACTTTTGTACAAAGGCATTGATAAATGGGGCTTCTTATACCATATTTGAAAGACATGAGCTCTAGTGTAGTCCATGTCTTTTGCAAAGAGAAGGACAGAAAAGTCACAATATCAGTTTTTCATGTTTTAACTAGGTTTCTGTTATTATACTTATATACTGTAAGTACTACTTATAACACATAGCTAAGTTTTTGTACTGAAAATACGTACATATCTATTCATTTCTTTACTTCTAACACACTGCAATTATTCAATTAACATTTTGAATCGAAGGCAATAGATGTTTGGTGGAGAGATTATGTCAAAGACATAAGGATAAATGAGTATTCACAAAAAAAGTGATAATGTACCATAGGGAGGCTTCAGGTAGATTAGCTACTGATTAAAACTGTAAAACGTCTGCTCTGTCAGTCCTCATTAAGAAAATGGACTGTTGCAATTTTGACTCTGGTGTTAAACCTTGAGCTTTAGCAAAGTACCTTTACTGCCACATTCACATAGCTTCTGTTCCCAGGTGTCTCCCTTTCCACATCAGAACTAACCCTAATCACATCAAACTGCCTTTCCAATTTAATAAATGAGCCATTCAATAAACACAATAGCAGCTGAGCACTGAATCTAGTAAAGAACATGTATATCTGTGTGGTCTTAGATCATTTTTGTTTTCCAGAAATTGCAAAATAGCTGCTTCTCACATAAAGCTGTGTGTGTTCCATATAATCCCTTATGAACACACATTATAGCGTTTATAACATGAATACCTAAAGTACATCTATGGGTTCAGATTATGCTATATCTCACAGCTTTTTTTATATTTATCAGGATTTACGTTCTGCCTTGTCAGCATTCTGGAAGCTGCCAACAAACTCCTGGAGAGGAATTTCCATCAACCTCTAACTTTCTTTTTTAGTGTCATTTCTTTTTTATATCATACTAAAGGAGTAAGAACTGCTGTCTTAGCCTCTCAGAAGTATCCCTTATCTCTGCTGCCAGTCCATGATTTTTAAAATCAATTTTTCAATTTGACTATGTTAGGGGATTATTTCCTTAAACCTTGTTTTCATGCAACTGAACATGTTTGGCTGTGTACTGTATCATTGTATTTATTTGTTTTATATTCCACTGTTGTTCTTTCACAGTCTAACAGAAAAATAAAACTGTAATTTAATTAAAAAACAGTAATCCCAAAAGTAAATACATACTGTATGTAAACAGTTCACATCACCATGCCTTCAACATTTGGCTTCAATTTAAAATTGCCCGACCCTTTTATGATGTTCTGTTCTCCTTGTTAAATGTGATGCTACTCATGTGGAAGAGGTACCCCAGAAAAAAATGGGTTCCCTGACCACCCCAGAAGGCTGAATGAAAGCAATTAATTTGCTTAAAAACATCTGCAAATCAAGCCACCGTAAAACAAAATAAATAAGGCCATCATGCACAACAAGAGTCTAAGACATCACCGATGGCACAGATTCCACCAGGAATCAGACATTTGACAACAAGATCTATTGCTTTTTACCCCACATTTCAACAGAAGGAGGGAATAAATGGACTTTGATTGTTTTGTAAAGGTAATAAATGGCATACAAAGTGGGTTTATCGAAGGTCTTGCTAGAAACAGCATAGAAATCAAGGGCTCAAACTGGACCACCAGCTTCACATCACTGCCTTTACTCTGTAGATCTGTGTAGCCCTGTGAGAACAATAAACCTGGGGCATGTGGGGGGGGCACAGGACAGACGAGAAAAGTAAGAAATGCAACTAGTGCCAAGTCAAAAAAGAGCACAGTTAATAAAAACAAAGAAGTGGATTTCCACGAGTCTGCCAGCTCAAGAAAAAGAGAGGGGTTCCAAAATAATTCAAAAAAGCACTCTCAGATTGCCTAAAAATCGCAAAACAATCAGGAAACTCAGTATAAAAGAAGGTGAAAGAAAATGGTACCAAAGTATGAGGCTCAACATATTTGCAGCAGTAATTTCATAGGCTTCCATTAAGTGTAATATTGTGCTTGTTAATGAAAGTTGTTCCTTGAACAGCCCAGATACTGTACAGTACATGCAAGGCACACAGAAAGAAATGAATGTTTTATATGATTAAGCCAGTTTCTGCTGTGATCTATCTACTTGAGAATTTCAGCATAAAAGGCTTGCAAACATTTAAAACCAAGCATCGATGGATGAGGATCTTTTATTGATATTGTCTTATTTATACTGTATATAAAAGTTTCTATGAAACTAGTTATATTCAATCTGTATAATCAAATACAAGTGAGGCTGCAGAATTACTACCAGCTGTTTACACAGAACAGTGATTCAAACTGTATTTTCCCAGTATTTTATATATCACTAACTGCAGACCACATTAATAAAACTAAGCCATCTGGAAAATTAATTATTCAGAACTCAAATGAATTAACATCATACCCATTCAGGTCATGAACTGTAGATGTGTGATACTGTCACTTGGGAATGATTGCTATACCAGGAGAATTTCAGACAGCTTCCATTTGTATCATTACAGTACAGTATATCCTTATTCCTCACTTTACTCCGTAGTTCTCTGAAGTGTTTGGTTTTTCTTTCAAATTCTATTGATCACCGATCAAATAGTGAGCTATAATAGAAGTAATCAATAGTAGTCGGTAAATAGTCAACAGTAGTCTGGTAAATACGGAGCTCTACAAGGTATGAAAGCATGACCTGTTTAACTGCAGTACTGCACATGTTTAGTCCAAACAATAATTACCGAAATAGAGTGTGCAATGAAAAAGTGTGGCATAAAAGGGTTGATGTGGTGCAACATTACATCTCCTCAAGGATTATTTTATGTGTAATTAAAAACAGTCAAATTAAGGGAAAATGCTTTTCAGAACTACATTCTTTGTTTCTGACTTAGTTTAGGTTTAAGCTGCTGTATTTGCTCCAAGTGAAGTTCTCTGAAGTCGGAGAACAAACTCTTTCCAACACCCCTGTTCAAACTGGACCTTCTTGTGCTTTTCATTTGTGTCCTCCGTTTCATGTTACACTTTTGTGTTACCTCAGGTCACCTTAGTCTTCCCTGTTCAAGACTAATAGATTCAGTCATATCCTGACAGAGAAGGGCCTGGTAAGGTATCTGGTCACACTTTCGACTGATTACAGAGCAACAATACACTCTTCATATCCCAGTGACCAAAATTATACACGACTTTATAAATGACACGGTGTTATAAGATGGTACATAATACATTAAAGCAAATAATATCAACATTTTTATCAGAGTTTGGAGTGGGGAGCTGTGTCCGTGCTCGGGTTTCAAAGGAACAACTAAGAGGTTAATTGTGTGCCGAAAAAAGGAAAAACATACAATGTCTCAGCTGTGAAGCCTTCTTCAGATCATACAGTTGAAACATAGCTATTAGTCTAATAGAAAATCCCATTGTGAATACTTTGGGGCAGTTTGAAAAGGTGGGTATCAGTATCATTAATAATAATTAAAGTCCTTGCATTTACATACAGTGGCAATTTTCCCAGAGGATATCAAAGTACTTCACAGCTAGGAGGGAACCCACTTCATTCATCATTGAAGTGAAGTACTCTCTTGGATGATGCACAGCCAAAGGCGTCATCTTTTCAAAATTATTGGGGGTGCTCATCTTAAAATTTACTTTAACAAAGCCCTTCTTTGGCCTCTCATTACCTTCATTAAGGGAAAGAAATGACACAGCAGTCATTCTGTGCGGACACCTTTTCAGACCAAGAGCCAGTTACTAATGATTATGATCTTTTAATACGTAGGTTTTTAAACAATCAGATAATGACTAGGAAGTTCATAATATCTAGCATTGCGCAAACTGTGGTAATCTGGTAATCTCCCAAACCTACCTGTACATACAGTACAGTACAAAGCGAAAATGCATTCACCCCTACTATAAAAATAATATGATCAAAAACATTGGAACTGCCTGAACATACATAGCACCCACTATCAGCCCAAATGAAAAGCAGAACAGACAAAAAAGTGAGAAATAATAGTTTCACCATTCGAAACAT